TTCTGAATAGATGTGGTGGCAGCTGTCTGCTAACCAAAATTGGTAGACAGCAATTCACGTCAATGTTTACGTCCCAAATCGAGGTCATGAGAAATAACAAGAACAAAGACTAACCTTAAGGAACTCAACAACCAATCACGGTAAACTTAGCGTGGGCAGATACGATTAGCAGATATATCAACGGAGTGTATAAGAAACGGCAATAAACAGATGACAGAATAATTTTCAGCAGGAAAACAACCAATCAGAAGACGTCACCTCTCCTCTGGCAATAATGTACATAAAAATCTATAAATATTTGTCGATTTTCTCAAAAATAAACGATCTGTTGCCTGGCCATTGTCTTCTTTCGTTATATAGGTACTTGGGTTAACTAGTGACACCATAAGCTTGCAAACTGTGAATATCACTGAGTATTGAAGGATCTTCTCAAAGGCTTGGCAATGGACAGACACAACAAAAAGTATGAAAGTGAGCACTGGAGGCTGTGTTATCCTCTGATCCAATAGTACTACTTTTATCAAGTGCATCATACAGTATCATCAAAGGGTTGCGTTCGTCGACTCCATACTGGAGATCAGATGGCCTACTAGAAAGAATGAATAACAAGAAACTCTGGGAGCTAACCAACTAACAACCTGTTCTACACAAACATGTAGAAGAAAATGCAAGAAGAAGACTGTCGAATGTCATCTCGCACCAGACCATCCACAGCTCGAGTGGAACTAGAGTGCGAAACGATGAGTTTAACTTTAGTCTGAATGTGACATTGAGGAGACTGTGTCAGTAGGAAGAGATGACAGACAATGGGCAATCATTAGGCTTGTTAAAGAGGACGCCGGAGAATAGGACTGTAAGATCAATTCTATTCCCATCCTTGAATCAAGTCAACCTGTCCCGGATCAGCCTAGCGTTGTTGCAACCCAATTATCCATGCCTAACGTGTCTATCCCTGCTTGTTTAATGAATTGTGTGTATGTGTTTTTACCTCGATCCGTTTAGTCAGATAGTTGAACTCATGGCCCAATCAGAGTATTTTGTGAACTGACCCATGTCTAACTTTGTACTATTCTGTCGAGTTTATCTTATTTATTGATTTTCATCTGTATTTTCCTACCTGGTTAAGTAGCCAATTAAATTCTATCTTTGTGCCTATGCTCGGTCTATCTCTCTTAAACGCTCTCTGCTTTATGCCATGCCCTACTTGGGTTCATTCTTCTACTGACTGCTTACCTGAACGGTCGTGTCTGGTTCCGGCTAGTTCGCAATTTTGGCTTTAACGTTATTCCGCTCTGATAGCGGTACCTTGCTTTCTGTTAAGCGTTGTGCTTTGTACTCTTGAAACCGTTAAGGTTTGTTGTATATATATAATTATTGATTTGTTTATTAATAGTACCGTAGAAACAGTGACCGGCTTCTTGTTTGTTCTGGACCGGGATAGCCTTTATCTACGCGTGACTTAATTTCAAGCAATATTGCGCTTACAAGGACAAAGTTGAAATTCGCTGCTGAAGCCCTATATTCCACTCGGAACTCAAGGTAAGTCACATTAACAACAGTTCTGATAAATGTCTTGTTCTTACAACTTCACTTCCCCCGATGATAACACTAGCGAAATAATAATATAACGCTTAAGGAATGAGGTGGAATGAGCATTCAATTCTGCTGAATTAAGCTGTTTTGCCTCTTCTAAGTGTATTTATCAATTTGACTGATTCTGTGGAGCCAGTTACACAGGAAGTAAAATTAGGCACGTTAACAGTTGTATTTGTGAACACTATCCAGCGTGGTTAAGCAAAGTACAAAAAATAAAGTTCATTCATAGTTCGATTCTAACTCAACTCCTTTGAATACAAAACACAAGACTGTTGAAACTATCCACCGTATACCGAACAATCCTTATTTTACCTCGAGAGTTTGTCTATTACACAAACTGCTGCTAAAGCTGTCAGAATCCATATGGTGAAGGAGCCTATCTTATGTTTCCAAAAAGAGAAAGGGCAAAGTTAAACTTTAAGTACCACTGACTACCAATCAGTGAATGACATCGAACACACCACTCACGTGAAGGAGGCACTTTTTGTGTAGGGAATACATATATTTATGAAATAAATGCATAAAAACTGCAGAAAAGTGTTACAGAGGATACCTTTCTCTAACATGTGATAAATGTAGCTCTCCGTTTTAGGTTGGGGTATCAACAGATTATAATTCCATTGTGGGTAAAAATTTATACATTTGGTTCCCTTGATAAATTTCGATAAGGAAAGGAAGACGAAATTTGCAGTATAAAATGATATCATTCTATTTCACAGGTTCTCATCAGCTGCAGACTACCTGAAATTACAATGGTTATATAGATGATAATAACATACTTTAATGTTCGAGTGGTGGTAGAAAAGAGATACTATAAAATTGACGCATCTAAATGAAAGCATTACAATGTTTTTAGTTTAAGTTTTCATCATCAATTTATACGCTTTTAAAGTTGAAAAGAGGGGGAGGGGTAAGAGAGAAAACAGAAAAAATTGATTAACAGAACAGTGTTAGCTTTTAGGTTCACATAGCAACTCAAGAAACAAAAAAAACAAAAACGGTTACAGTTTATGAGATTAAGATTTGTTCAGTGAGTTGAGATCACTGAATTAGATGACTAATCAAAATCTTTTTTTTGTTACCAAGGGAGTGAGAGGTTAATCACACTCTCTTTCTGTATGCGTAAGTCTGGTTTAAGTCTTTTGATTGCGATTGCTTCGGCAAATCGTAGTAAATTTGCTGTCCTTTGTCTATTTAATATTTTGAAGGACTTAGCAATCTCCACGAGACGTCCGGTATCAATAATGTGTCTGGTAATTGCACTCTGGGAATATCTGCTTCCTTTCAGGCACAGGTTTTTGGGAATATGTTGAGAAAACCGGATAGAAGCCCTTCTTTCTGTCCTTCCAATGTACTTGCTCCCGAAAGTGCACGTGAATTCATAAACGCAGTTGGAGGTGACATCAGCAGGGTATTTATTCAGTTTTGAGTGGATTAAAGAAGGAGTGGTGCTGCATACTGTTATGAGTTTTGCTGCTGGGAAGCTTCTATTTATTGCACCTTTCAGTCTTTTGTCAATCTTTTGTGACACTGCATCTCCTTTGTATGGTAGACAGATAAACACTTTTTTCTTTTCTACAGTTGGATGCTTTTCTTTCTCATCTTTTTCTCTGCTGTACTTCTGAATAAATCCCTTAGGGTATCCATTTTCCCTTATGCATTTCTCGACGAAAACTAATTCTTCTTCGGCCCTGTTTGGTGAACATAGCTTTCTGGCTCTGTCATACAAAGTCCTCACTAATCCACGTTTATAGCTTATGGGACAAAAGCTGTTATAGTGAAGATATTGTCCAGTCCAGGTTTCTTTTCTATAGATGGACTTTTCGACCGTGTCTTCGTTTGTTCTTTTTACATTTAGATCCAGGAAATTGAACTCATTATTATGTTCATATTCCATGGTGAATTTGATATTTGGATGTATCTCATTTAGGCGATCATATTTTGATGAAGTCTCATATTGTAACACAATAATGTTTACTAAGCAATAAATTGTGCTTGAAACGTGGTCATCAGGAAATATTACTGTATAACACACTGAGACTTTATCAAAACAAATGTTACCCGCAATGGAATTATGCTCTACCACAACGCACAAGTCTTCTAACAATAATGATAACCCTAATCTTTTCTGAACCTAACCCTAACTCGAACCAACCCTAATGTCGCCTTTATTAGGTTAACCTAACCTTAACTTATCCTTGACTTAAAGCGTAACTTAATCTTTCCGAAACCTAAGCTGAAACTTGCCAGATATCCAATTTAAGAGCATAACACTTCGATGAGCGTATTTTATTGATGATGACAACATTATATGCCAGGTTTCACTGACTTTCTCAATGAGCGTTTCAAGTTCACTGGTGCGGTGGCACTCCATTGGTAGTTCGTGGTGCTTAAAGTTTAACCTGGCCAGAAGAAGTCGGTTCAGACGCTTTTTTCTTACCTTGGCCATTCAGGTTCTAACTACCCTTAATCTTATTTGATATTCTATTTGGTATTACATTTTTCTATGCTTATTATAATTTAAACATCTTTCATGAATTGTAATTCTATTGTTACTGTGTATAATATATATATATATATATATATATATATATATATATATATATATAGTTGTCGAAAAGCGTCTTCTTTTCTGGAACTTTCTTTTGTCTTCTAAATGTCTGAAAGGGGATTTTCTAGTTCAATTTGTTTTCACATTATCAGTCAAATTTACCCCATTTATGATCTATGTATGTCATAAAAAGACATCAGTTATATAACCGTTGGAAACCAAAACGGCACTGGACTGACCTCTAGATAGGTGTGAGGCAGTCCTCTGACCATTTAGTCATTGTGGCAGATTCCAGTAACCCGTGAATTCCAACATCTGTCAGTCTCAATGAATTTTTGCTTTTCCCGTCGATTGATTAAACCGAAGTGCTCGGTCTTAGTTTGACATATCGGCTTCTTTCGTAGATGCTTTGACGATGCCTGGGTATTTAATTAGAATTTAATTGGTGGATGGTGACTAGCAGTGGAATCCAGGATAACGCGCATTTCGTCCTATTTGGGACTAGTCATCTGGATGTACCTGTATTTTCCAGTGACTGATGATTTTCCCACCGAGGCTCGAACCCAGTTGTTGATATAGGGCTACTACCAACCGACACAACCAATGAGTATTCATGCCTTTTTAACATGATTTACCCTGCCGACTACAATTTCCTACTAGAATTTCAAGACAATCGCCCAGTAGACGCTTACAAATGTGAAACGTGCAACCAGATGTTGGATTTTGTCCTAAGTGCTCTCGGTTGAAACCTGTCGGATTCACAACACATAACAAACAATTTGATAATACATTTTATTATACAATTAATTCAGCTATATTCATTGAACAATCTAAACTCTATTATGATTATTCTTGTGAGTAATACATTATGGTTTCTCTCTAGAAGTAATCAGAGCAGTCATTGGTTCGTCTTTCATACCACCACCACCACCACCCTACTACTTCTACTACTTTTATACTTGTAAAAGTAGTGCAACACCACCCATAATCCATTTAGCCGGTTTCTCTTTTGTACGTAAATGAAATGTCCATACAAATGTTGGTCCTCTTGTCTTCGTCTTATACACAGGACAGGCATACATAGCTGCTATTCGACCTTCTTGTCTATCCGATGGTACAGCTCTAAGCAGGATAACAGGCATTGCTGGTGCCAGTTCTTTGATTCTAGCATCAACAATTGAATTAGCACTTGTATCCCATCTAGCACCTTCAATAAATAATCCATGCACATAGGCACCTTCTCTTGGTGCCGAACCCATTTCTTCTTTTGTCTTTTTTGTAACTTCAACACTGATACAAATCTTGTCCAATGGCCATTCCATTTTTCTTGCTGTCTGTTGCATAACAGCCGTTAAAAATGATTGTGGATTAAACAAACCACCAAGCCATACAGAGCCTGGCAGGCCTAAATCTTGTGCCCATATATCTAATTCTTTACATCGATTTGACAAATCAGCAAACCATAATCCAAGTGGATAGAGACTAGGATAGGCATAACGTTCCCAGGTTGATGGTACCTAAAGGTAGAGAAAAGTGAATTAAGAGAATGTCTAAGAATAAACAAATTCTTCAAAAAAGAGAAAACTCCACAGTGACATCACCCAGTCTATACAACTATCATTATGCATTAAAAGGACGTTCATTTTCTAGAGAAAATTCTCTCTGACTCAGTACCTATTACTGTTGATTGTGGCCTAGGCTATTTGGAGGCATATGGATAGAGAAAGTGGCCAAAAGAAATGAAATCAACATTATAAGTCACTGGTTGCAAGCTGAGGTGAAAGTGTTTTTATTCCCTAAATCTGGATTTAGTTTGAGTTGTGGTCAGGAAATAATTTCATTGGACAACTCTTCATCTGATTTTCAATTGTTGGTTTGTAGGCATTTGATTGGTTACAGGATTTCATCATGAGCTGACATCAATTACAGAAACATTGGAAAACCAGCCTCAGGGAGTACTTCCAGACAGCTGTTTCGTCAACCTAGTGCTTGTGACTCTTCAACAGTACTCACCCATCATATGGGTTCGAACACAGGACCTTCTGGTTACAAGGCGAGCTAGCTGGTAGACCATTAAGCCACTGGGACCCGATCCAATGGCCCATGATTTCTAACTTCAGCGATTTCACAAAATAGCGCGACCACTAGCCAATGTCATCCGTGGCGAGTATTCGTTCTCACACCCGACCTGCTGCAGCCTACTGGTCACGACGTCTCTCTAGAACCCCGGTGGGAGCTTACTATTGAAGAGTCCCAAACTAGGACGAAACGGCTGTCCAGTACTCCCAGGTTTTTCAATGGTTCTCTAACTGATGTCAGCTATGATGAAATCCTGTAATCTTCATCTGATTGTTTAACTTTGTGCCAGTCACCAACCACCACCAATCAGAATAGGTTACTGTCGGCTGGTCTAGCCGACTTTTGATGTGATTAAAAAAAGATCAGTCACCATTTCTCTTACCTTGCACCACTACTTTTTTACTGTATCCGTAGAAATGAGGGGAACTGTTCAAGCTAAGTAAAATACTAATTCGTGTTATCTTGAAAGGAATAAAAGATGCTCCACACCGGAGGAACAGGATAGAATCAGGGAAAACAAATCATGCGCGAATCAAGTAGAAAGTCTACGCATCATCATAGAACAAAGTATAAAATAGCAATGATAGGAACCAGCATAAAGTAGTATGTCATTTTTTCTCACGAATCACATGGTTTATTTTGTGATGGAGTTACTATGTGAATGCATCATTTCTCTCGCATGTTGTGATTTAGTGTGTGATCAATTCGTCATCTTTATCTCACCTCGTCTTTGTCGGATTACCAGCCAATAAGAACAATCCATTCTCACGGCTGTGAGTCGACTGTATTGTGGTAAATAAGATGAATAAATAGAATGTTTTGTCCCCTTAATCTATACAGTATCTTATAATCACAAGCATCAGCCTTTGTCATTTGATATTTTCGTAACTGAGTGAATCGGAAGGCACAACAGACAAATAGGCATATTAGCGTGCCAATCGAGTTAATTACCTTTACAGTAATTAACAAGCACAGATATAATAAAGTGAAGACGGAGTTTATTGATTTCGGTTCAGTTATAACAGGCAATAAAACACGCACCTCAATTTCATCTACTTTGTAAAGGCCTTCAACAATAAGGACTATTTTAAAACAAACAATAAAGGTTAATAAAGCAAGATTTAATGAATTCATCAAATTTCGGTAGAACTCGCCAGCTGAATTGAATATTCTACATACACGGATATATGTACTTTTGAAATTACATATGGAGATATAAGTCTGATAAGCAAATAAACTACATTGAATTAGTCATGCAGAAAGACACGTGCGAATGTTTTCCAGGTCATGTTCAAATAGATAAGGGGAGAGAGAGTATGAGAGATCAAAATTAAGATAAATTGCATTACGCTTCAATTACATCACTTAGATAAACAATTAGTCACTAGGGAATATAATGGAGCATATGATGATGATGGATATGATGGAGCATTTGCCAAAGCGGTTGAAAACAGTTGAGTGCAAAGTGCCGAAATCCTCAATAACAAAACATCTTGTGAACCATGGACATGATATCGACGCGGTCAAGTCATTCACTGTTGCCAGTCAGCGGAGAAAGAAACAAGAAGATGCTTGCAATTACAGAGGCTTGTGCAATTCAAGTTTATAAACCGGGTCTCTGTATACAAATGGAGATGGTCGTGACTCTGAATCTACCATGGTAATACGTTTTACTTATTATTATTCTACCTCTTATTATTATTATTCTTGATTCATTTAAAACTATCCTTTATCAGTAGGATTATCTTAACTCACATCAACACTATTATTATTATTATTATTATTATTATTATTATTATAACCATTGCTAGTGATATTAGTCTGTTTACAATTCTTGTTATATTCTCTAATGTCTAATTGTTTACCTTAGTGATGTAATCGAAGCGTAATGCAGTTTATCTTAATTTTGATCTCTCATACTCTCTCTCCCCTTATCTAATTGAACATGACATAGAAAACATTCGCACCTGTCGTCTTTCTGGATGACTAATTCAATGTAGCTTATTTGCTTATCGGGCTTATATCTCCCAATGTAATTTCAAAAGTGTTTATATATCCGTGTATGTAGAGTATTGAGCTGACGAGTTCTACCAAAATTTGAGGAAGCTAATCGCCAGCCCGAATAGCTCAGAGGTAACGCCTCTGACTACACCACTGCTCAATGAGTGAAGTTGGTGCAAATCTTAGAAGGGATATAAATTATTTCAAGACTGCAGAGAAACCTTCCTGATTGATGAGTGTCATTAAGCACAAAACCTAGGTGAAGTAAGGCTTCCTGACGAACGCCTCCAACCGTCTAATAATAACATGATACTGTGGTGAGAGCTGTCTGCCTAGCCAAAATCTGTAGACACCAATTTACGTCAATATTTACGTCCCGAATCGGGGTAGCAGTAGCAAAGCTTAACCTTGATTTCTACCGAAATTTGATGAATTCATTAAATCTTGCTTTATTAGCCTTTATTGCTTGTTTTAAAAGTCGTATCGGGAAATAAATGTTTTCAATAATGACCATGAAGTAATTTGAAAACTACTTCAACAGTATGGGGTGTAGTGTCCAAATTTGTATCAACCCTATTCAAAGATCATATGACAATGTCACATGTCAAGTGAGCCGCAACGGAAAACTCACTGAGGCATTCTTAGTGAAAACAAGCGTAAGGCAAGGCTGTCAGCCTATTATCAATAATGATATTCATAATTTTGGTGGACTGGATCCTACATCAAACTATGCATTGGGGTGGGAAGACAGGATTACGTCGGGCGGACAGGAAGATGCTAAAATATACGGACTTCTTGGGTGATTTATCTCTAATGTCACATAAATTCAAAGACTTACAGTCGAAAATCAACAAGTTGACAGAAGAAGCAACCAGAGAAGACAGGACTCCAAGTGAACATAAATAAGATGAAGGTAACCTACCAACTAACACCAACAAGAATAACGAGCACCAATCATTATCAACGGTAAAAATAAAATTGAAAGAAGTTAATTCCTCAACTTATCTAGGCAACAGCACGTATGAGGATATCAAAGCCAAGATCAAAAAGGTAAGATAGACCTTCACCAATGTGAAAATGGGTTTCGAAATCTTCTGATCACTTCCAGAGCATAAAGAAAAAAAATTCGGATTTTCACTACTATCCTTGGGTCAGTCGAATTCTTGCTTTTATTTTTCTCCCATATTACTGTTTCTATTTCTTCCTCATATGTCTGTTTGTCATCTCTCACACTTTTAAAATCTCTCCGTACTCTCTTCTATTGCTTTGTGTGCGACGTGTAGGGAGTGTGACAACTTGAACTGTGCGTCGGTGGCACAGTGGTTAGGACTCTCGCCGACCATGCACATGGTCCAGGGTTCGAGCCCACGCCGGCGCACACCTGATATCTATGGTCGGCCTGCAAAATTTGGGCTACCGATATCCACGCTGAAAATTCCATACTTGTACCAAAAATACAGTGTGGAATCAAGCTGTAAATCAAAAAAGAAAATAAATAAATAAAATAAAAAACTACTGCGCTTCTATGCAGAGTTGTGCGTTTCAACCAGTCATATATATATATATATATATATATATATATATATATATATATATATATATATATATATATATATATATATATATATATATAAACGAAGCAAGAAGGTTGTGTCTCTGTCTCTGTCTGTCTGTTTTCAACATAGAACTTTGCACAAATGTGCGCCAGTTCAAGTCGCCACACTCCGTGTAGCACGCGAAGCAAGAGAAGAAAGTACAAGAAAAGCATAAAAGAAACAGTGAGCAGAGGTGTGAGATAAAGGAGTAATAAAGAAAAACAAAACAGTTTCATTGGTGGAGATCATATGTCACAAGGAGTGGATGCATCTGCGCCACTGAGAACGATTTTGAGCCATGTCACCAATTGTTTCCAACCATAGATTTTTACCGTCCCGAGGATCCCAGCCTGGAAGTCTACACCTTCCTACGTGCCTTAGACCAACTGTTGTGGATTTCATATCCATGTGTTGTGTGAATACCTAGACATGATTATGAGCAATAAATTGTGCTGTAAACGCCATCGGTAAATATTATTGTATAACACTGTGTGACATTTTCCAAATAAATCTTAAATCTCGAAAAATACCCATTTATTCATAAGTAAAAACACAGTTATTTTGTTCAGCGAAGAAATTTCTTTTCAAGAAAAAACACACTCCAGTAAATATTTAGACTTCAGATCATCATATTCCATCAGTACAAAAGTAGGTATTAGTTGTATCAAGTCTTCTTCGATAAGCACAATCCTGAATAGGAGGACAGAACTTGGGCACTGTGGTAGAGTATATATAATTCCATTGTGGATAAGATTTATTTATAAGTAAAAACACAGTTATTTTGTTCAGCGAAGAAATTTCTTTTCAACGACTTCATTTTCAAGCCAACTCTACAGTCGTATTTATATTACAGAAAAAGGTTATTAAGTGGCACTAAATAATTGCTCAGTCAATGTACGTATATATGTGATAAAAGTTATAAGGGGTAGAGTTGAAGTGGATAAATTACAAAAATATTAAAGATTGTTCTATAACAAAAATATCAAGTGTTGTCTAAAAATTATGAAAATTAGGAGTACGATTACGATAAGAATGAAGATGTGAAGTGAAGTGGAAAGAATTCAAGTGGTAAAATAAAATAAAAACTAGAAAGAACATTATTATGACCAAGGTGAAGAAAGGGGTTTGACCAAACGCTTTTGAACACATAATTTAGGTTTCTGTTCATGTATAGCTAAAGCTTCGGCTATGCATAAGTGAAGAAAACGTAAACTTTTGGATCGATTCGATTTTGCCATGTAGATAACTTTGAAAGATGAATCACGTGGGGCTAAATGACCAGACTCTAACAGGTGATCACAAATAGACGACTTCGCAGTTCTACTTTCGCCTTTCATTAACCAAACCGTATAGTGTTCAGCTACACGTTTTCGGAGATTACGCTTACAACGTCCAATATAATCAGCTCCACAAGAGCGGGTAAATGAGTAAATGCAAATAGATGTGGACAAAAGCGGTAATCTATCCTTGACGCATTGTCTGATCATATTTCGGCTGGTAAAAACTAGTTGCAGGTCAGCTGAAGGAAAAGTACGTTTAACGCATTTAGATAAACGGTTTTTAATCAATTCCGAAATGGTGTCACCTTTGAATGCAAGACTCATAAACAGCTTTTTCTTTGGCACTGTGACTTGTCTCGGGGCGGATTCTTTCTTGATGTTACGTTCAATGAACCTTGTAGGATAACCATTGTTAAGGAGATTTGATTGAAGGTTATCTAGTTCCCTATCGATTGTCTCTGCAGAGCAGATTTTACGAATCATGGAGCATAAGGAATGAATAAGATTTCTCTTTCTCCCTAAAGGTACCCAACTGTTGAAGTTAGTGTACTGCCCCCCAGTGAATGTTGGCTTTCCGTAAATCGACCTTGACAGCGTTCCATTCTCTCTTCTATCTAGCTTAACATCAAGAAAGTGAAAAGAGGAATTCGACTCTTCTTCGACCGTGAAAAGCAAAGATGGGTGAGAACAATTAAATATTCCAAGAAGTTCGGTAGTTGAAGAGTTTTCGTTAAAGGAAATCATCGACAGTTTGTTTATGTATAAAAGATATATTGATGATACCTTCATTGTATGGGATGAAAACACTTCAACTGCCGAACTTCTTGAAATATTTAATGCTTATCACCCATCTTTGCTTTTCACGGTCGAAGAAGAGTCGAATTCCTCTTTTCACTTTCTTGATGTTAAGCTAGATAGAAGAGAGAATGGAACGCTGTCAAGGTCGATTTACGGAAAGCCAACATTCACTGGGGGGCAGTACACTAACTTCAACAGTTGGGTACCTTTAGGGAGAAAGAGAAATCTTATTCATTCCTTATGCTCCATGATTCGTAAAATCTGCTCTGCAGAGACAATCGATAGGGAACTAGATAACCTTCAATCAAATCTCCTTAACAATGGTTATCCTACAAGGTTCATTGAACGTAACATCAAGAAAGAATCCGCCCCGAGACAAGTCACAGTGCCAAAGAAAAAGCTGTTTATGAGTCTTGCATTCAAAGGTGACACCATTTCGGAATTGATTAAAAACCGTTTATCTAAATGCGTTAAACGTACTTTTCCTTCAGCTGACCTGCAACTAGTTTTTACCAGCCGAAATATGATCAGACAATGCGTCAAGGATAGATTACCGCTTTTGTCCACATCTATTTGCATTTACTCATTTACCCGCTCTTGTGGAGCTGATTATATTGGACGTTGTAAGCGTAATCTCCGAAAACGTGTAGCTGAACACTATACGGTTTGGTTAATGAAAGGCGAAAGTAGAACTGCGAAGTCGTCTATTTGTGATCACCTGTTAGAGTCTGGTCATTTAGCCCCACGTGATTCATCTTTCAAAGTTATCTACATGGCAAAATCGAATCGATCCAAAAGTTTACGTTTTCTTCACTTATGCATAGCCGAAGCTTTAGCTATACATGAACAGAAACCTAAATTATGTGTTCAAAAGCGTTTGGTCAAACCCCTTTCTTCACCTTGGTCATAATAATGTTCTTTCTAGTTTTTATTTTATTTTACCACTTGAATTCTTTCCACTTCACTTCACATCTTCATTCTTATCGTAATCGTACTCCTAATTTTCATAATTTTTAGACAACACTTGATATTTTTGTTATAGAACAATCTTTAATATTTTTGTAATTTATCCACTTCAACTCTACCCCTTATAACTTTTATCACATATATACGTACATTGACTGAGCAATTATTTAGTGCCACTTAATAACCTTTTTCTGTAATATAAATACGACTGTAGAGTTGGCTTGAAAATGAAGTCGTTGAAAAGAAATTTCTTCGCTGAACAAAATAACTGTGTTTTTACTTATAAATAAATCTTATCCACAATGGAATTATATATACTCTACCACAGTGCCCAAGTTCTGTCCTCCTATTCAGGATTGTGCTTATCGAAGAAGACTTGATACAACTAATACCTACTTTTGTACTGATGAAATATGATGATCTGAAGTCTAAATATTTGCTGGAGTGTGTTTTTTCTTGAATACAGATTGCATATTGGATCGGATCCCAGTGGCCTAATGATCTACAAGCTAACTCGCCTTGTAATCAGAAGGCCCTGAATTCGAACACCTGTGGTGGATGCGTACTGCCTCATGATGAAATCCTCCAACTGATCAAACTAGAAAAAAACCCTACTAAAACACATTATTATTGTCGTTATTTTCAACCTTGAACTAATGTCTAGTCCACGCCATTCGTTGGCTTTTCTTCTGTAGTGCATTGGTGGTACAGTGTTTATGAGTCTCGCCGATTATATACACGGTCCGGGGTTCGACCACTTGCCGACGCACACCTGATATCTATAGTCGGCCTGCAGGATTTTGGGCTACCGAAGTCACATGCTGAAAATTCCATACCTGTACAGAAAAATACGGTGTGGAATCAAGTTGTAATAAAAAAATTTTGTTTCACACACACTGATTACATTCATTCCCGAATGCTGTACTTTTGTTAATTGTATATATACATACACACATCATTAATTTAAGTGTTGGTTTGTAGGGATTTGATTGGATTCAGGATTTCATGATGAGCTGACATTAGTTAGAGAACCATTGGAAAACCTGGGAGTACTGGACAACCGTTTCTTCCTAGTGTGGGACTCTTCATCGGCACGCACCCACTGGGCTGGCCTTATTCAGGTAGGTAGTTACCTGGGTTCCAGTGGGAAGTCGTGACCAGTAGGGTGCAGCGGGTCGGTGTGAGGACAAATACTCGCCGAAGACATTGGCTAGCGGTCACGCTATGTCGTGAATTGGCAGAAGTTAGAATTCAAGGACCATTGGATCGGGTCCCAGTGGCTTGATTGTATACGAGCTCGCCTTGTAACCAGAAGGTCCTGGGTTCGAACCTCCTGTGGTGGGTGCGTACTGATGAAGAGTCCCAAACTAACACGAAACAGCTGTCCAGTACTCCCAGGTTTTCCAATGGTTCTCTAACTAATGTCAGCTCATGATGAAATCCTGAAACACATCATTAAATTATTTCATCTAAATCATCTGTTCTCATTGACCATGCATATAAAAAGAACTAACTGACTATTGTGAAATGGGAGACACTGGTGATGATTAGTAATAATAGATTCGTAGAATGTGGGGTAGGAAAATTCACAAGTTAGTCAGTTCAAGGTTATAAAGTGTGTCAGGTAAATGAGTGGCTAGTACACAGTGGTATGTATCAAACAGAAGGAGAAAGTGAGACTGCAATGACAGGTTCAACAGGGGGAAACTAACTGCATAAAAAGCTAGATCATGTCACATTTGGTCGATAACGGACATAGCATCGACGTCAATACAGTTATTATTATTATTATTCGTCATAATTTATGCCCTTTATGCAAACATTCTCTCAATACTGTCGAATTTTCCATTTATACTATCTCGACTTACTATTATTAGTGATATTATCTCTTTTCTCAATGTATGCCTCCACCTGTTTCATTTCACATATTCGTTATCTCACTATGAACCTCTCATTGCAGTCTTACTATCTCCTGTTTAACTCAGACCACTTTGTACTAGCCACTCATTCACCTGACACCTTTTATAACCTTGAACTGACTTGTCAATCGTTTTCCTACCCCACACTCTACAATTCTATTATGATTAATCACCACCATTGTCTCCCGTTTTACAATATTTTGGTAATCGATTTCAGCCTAGCACGTTTGTCACACAAACACGACTATTTATTTTGACACCCAATAACTACTAATCTGTTATTCTACGTTAAAAAGTGTATCCGCCACATAACTGGCTATCGTTATTATAACGACCACAAATATTATATTTTATAATTGTAAGAATCTGAAGAGGAGAAATTATTGAAAAGAATATTCTTCGTTCAGATTGACTTTTAATTCATAATATAGGAATATTTCCCACAATGAAATCTTTTCTGATTATTCTTAAATCGTTAATGTAACTCTGTGTGTTTTAATTGACCTTTATTTTTCTCGTGTAAACTGAATTGACAAGTGAATGTGGAAGGGATAAGATTGTTGTTCGAAATGTATATTGCACTCAGATATATCACACCAGATTTTTGAGATAATCATCGCCTTGTAATATCACTCACTATCCAAGGATTCATTAAATCCTGTTTTACTGCCCCTTGTGGCTAGCTGTGAATGTGTATAGTAAAAAGAAATATATTTGCAAAAATTTTCTTTCTTCTTCATTTTTTAAACACTTACCTGATCTAAAAATAATGCATTCATCAGTGAATCCATTGCACCAGAGATTGTCAACTCTCCACGTAAACCCAAACGTAATTCACGAAGTGATCGACGGATTTCATTAATTAAAATATTCATTCGTTCACATTCTTGTAATACAACTACAGTGTATGGACCACGCTCCTCTGGTGCTTGTCTAGCATACAATTCATTCATAGGAAATCCATCCGATAGACGATCTAGTAAATCTTCTATAAGACTATTCAATGTTTCTTCACGACTTGGTGCATCACTGACATCCGTTCCACTGTCACGTGGTTGCAGTTCAAGGACAACACGGAATACACGTTCAGCTGATTTCGTTAAAAATTCAATCTCTGCATTTGGATGTAAACCGTATAGGTAAGGCGATTCAGGCGGTAAATACTTATCAATATAGGCATGATAACCAGCATAGTCTGAATTTGGTGGGACAAGAAATCCAGGCGATAGATAGAGATCACCATCAACCTAGAATTAGATGAAAGTAGAATTTTATACATCTCATCCAACAGTTATACAACAATGCTACATACCAAGAAAATCCACAACCGGAAACTTACGGAATCCTTCGAAGTGAGTACGGGAGTAAGGCAAGGATGTTTACTATCGTCAATGATTTTCCTGATTGCAGTAGATTGGATAATGCGAAAGACAGCGGGAAATGAGGAAACAGGCATAAAATGGACGCAAACAAAAGTCAAGTAGTCATTCCATGGTAGGCAAAGGCTGAAGTCTATTGTTCTTTTTTGTATGCATAGTTTAAGATGTATGTGAATAATCCACAAAGGGCTTCCATCACCTTCAATAACCAACCTTGAATTAGAGTTATGCAATGAAATAATTATGAAGCAGTCATTAATATTGATTTTGTGATCTGGCATTAATAATTGCTTTGCAATGGATAACGCTGATGGATTTCTATTCAGATTAATTGTACTGGGTTTTTTTTGTGTGTTTTAATAACCACTTTGGAACATGTTCATTTTGACGACCACATTCGAACATTCTATTGGTTCTACGTATATGGGTGCCACCGCAACTGTAGGTTTAGCCTGTAGATGTTGTTCGACGTAGAGGTCACAGAATGTCGTCCTTTAATCGTAGGTAAAGAGATAGAAAATGTTCGGTATGTGAGGGAAAGAGATACTGTGTAGAATGTGAACCTGATGACTGACCAAGGTCTTTGGGCTGTCAACTGCATAATTTGATCACCCTGAAATGGTGGGTAGGTCAATAAATGTAGCTTTCTTTGGTACAATAGCTGTCTTCTCAAAATTTGGTCTATCCTTACTGTGACAACTGATAAAGTTTTCTGGATGATCGTTACCTAATAAAACTGAATGTATATGTCGAAGCTCATCCATCAATGTGTCGCTCGTGCATATTTTGTGAGCCCTTGAAGACAAACATTTCCCTAAGCGACGTTTATACTGGATAGGAACAGAACTAGTGAAATGAAGATATTGTCCACACCATGTCTGTTTACGAAATATAGATCGCTTAATCGTTCTATCGTTTCTCCTGGTCATTGCAGTATCCACGATACTGAATTTGTTTCAAAATTTTCAGTAATACTAACTGAGTTATTATTAAATAAATTATAATTATATTTCAATAGTTTACACACAATGCTATTATTATTCATCAGATAATGACCGATTTTTTTATTCGCCTACGCCTAATTATATTAACATCCAATCAGGATTTAGTACTCTTCGCGGCATGACTATATAGGCTGTAAGTGACAGCCAATCAGGATTAAGTATATAGCCTAGATGGAGGGGAATATAGCTATTATGATTCGTTGATTACAGCTAGTGTAATTTGTATATACACAGGCAAGTAGATGGAGTAGCAATGGGTTCTCCCTTGGGACCCCTCCTAGCCGATTGCTTTATGGCTAGCTTAAAGAACAACGCCTTATCACCGACTGTCAACGACCTCCATCTCTACAAAAGATGCATCGATGATACTTTCATTATTTGTGATGAGAACTGTGATGTAGAAGAACTACTTCAAACCTTCAATAATGCCCACCCAAATATCGACTTTCCACTTGAGATTGAATCCGACGGAATGTTCCACTTCCTCGACGTCCATCTGACAAGAAACGCCGACAACTCTCTGAAAAGGTACATATACAAAAAGCCTACATGGAATGGACAATTCATCAACTTTCAAAGCTTCGTGCCCCTGAGTAGAAAGAGGAACCTGATATACGCTCTTTCCACGAGGATTCGGAAGATATGCAGCGAGGAAGTGGTTGAAGAAGAACTGCGTAACCTTCGAAAAACCCTGATGGAAAACGGTTTCCCGCCAGGATTCATAGACAAGAATCTCAAATGTAAGAAGACTTCCGAACAAGTCCATTCCGTTCCAAAGAAAATAATTCTGCTTAATCTAGAATTCAGAGGTGATATTGAAACAAACGCCTCTCCAAATCGCTGAGGAAAACATACTTCGCCGCGAGCCTACGACTGACGTTTTCCTGCAAGAAACTGTTCAGCCAGAACGCGAAAGACAAGCTGTCGCATTGGGCCACCTCAACGTGCATATACCAGTTTACTCGCTCTTGTGCAGCTGAGTACGTTGGCCGTACCGTGCACCGACTTGAAAAACGCTCTCGTGAACACTACCCAACCTGGTTAGTAAAAGGAAACGAAAAGCGTGTATACAGTTCAGTGACAGAACATCTGGTAAATTCAGGACATTCAGTGCCTTTCGAAAAATCCTTCAAGGTAATATATATATATATATATATATAGTTTATTTCCGGTTGACGGGCGAATTTTGGTGAGAGCTGTCTGCTACTCAAAAATGGTTTACAGCAATTTACGTCAATGTTTACGTCCCAAATCTTGGTCATGAGAGAAGAACAAGAACAAAGACTAACTCAACAGCCAATCACAGCAGACCTTGCGTGGGCGGATACAATTCGTAGATGTATGGTCTGGCCTTCAGGGAAATGGCCATAGAGAGATGATAGAAGAACTTTCAGCGAGAAAACAACCAATTAGAAGACACTGTTTCTCTACTACTACTAATAATAATGATAACGTCGGTGGCATAGCGGTTAGGACGCTCGCTGACCATGCACATGGTCCGGAGTTCAATCCTCGGCCACAGACGCACCCCATTACCTTGCTAAGCCAGAAATAATGCTGGCAAAGAGAAAAGGTTGGGCATGAGGCTAGCAGCCCCACCCTGTAAAATAAACACTGCTACAGAAACTTCAAGCCAATAGCTTGGAGCCCTATGTTCCACTGGGGAACGTGAAGGAAAAAAAAGAAGACGCTGTTTCTGTACTAATAATAATGATAACGAATAATAATGTACATAAAAATATATAAATATCTGTTAATTTCCTCAATAAATGATGTGTTGCCTGACCCTTATCTTCTGTTGTTACAAAGTTATGACAAATGACAAGATTACAGACAGGGATTAAAACGGTGGTAATCACGAAAATGGACAGAAAATTTAGTCAGACAATCGTCATTGAAGGAAATAACCGTTTACGATTGCATAGGTAAAGACAAATGTTGTGAGGGGGAGGTATTTCTCCTGAATACACATAGCATTGACTTGAATTTTTGGATAGCTAGTACCTAAGCTATGCTCAGATGCCTTGATGTTACTTCTTTTGAGTAGTTTGTTGAGGTTTTGTACAAAGCTTTGAGGGACTTTCAAATTGGAGCTGAGTGTCCTGAATTCATTCATCTTGTTATGTATTCACCTGTGTTCTTCACTGACGGGAGATATTTCTGGAACTTTTGAACAGCTTTATTACACATATGTATGTATATATACAAACGTACAGTCTAGTTGATGACATCGTTGAAACAAAAATTATCTTCTCTACAACGATCTTTTCAATTTCTGCTATCATCTGAAAAATGTCTGTGTGTGGGAGTGTGGTCAATAAGAAAATGAGATAAAATGAAATGAAATAATTCAATGATGTATGTTTGTCAGATAGATCACTGAAAACCAGGGAGAGCATTGGGAGGCTGTTTTGTCTTGCCTTTGGACTCTTCAGTGCTGTTCACTTACGACCCTATAGTCATGGATCGAACTCAGGACCTTCTGGTTACGAGACCATTCAGACATTTTTCGGTTGGAATTAAATCACTTCTAAATTCTAACGTTGTAAACTCATCATTTACTATTACTGTTATTTGTCACCCTTGAACTTACGTCTGGAGTATCCCACTTGTCGGTCTGCGTATTGTCTCCCAATTGATACTGTTCTCTGAGCTCATTGGTTTACTTGCGGAGCTTTCATCGTCAACCCTTCTGGACAACATCCCCCTTCAGCGCAATTTTTAGCATAAAGTGAAATAATTTAAATTTCTTCATGAGTGATAGAATTGCGCCTCCCGGTAACCATCTCTACACATGTTTTGATCATTTTTCTATTGACTTGGATTGTAAACTTTCTGGTCACATGATTTACACTTTTTATTAGTTGGTATATTTGGTCTATATATTAACGTGTTTGTTCATCTCTGGCTGATTCGTTTGAGTACCAGGCTTCTAGGAATTCCCTGACTGCATTTTTGATGTTTCCTCTGTCTAAGATTTCGACATTATCCCAATCAAATTGATGTCCATAATTGTCTATATGCATTGATACTAAAGAACATATATCATGTCTTTTCACGGCTGATTTGTGTTCCTGGATTCTGATTCGAAGGAGACGCCCACTTTGGCCGATGTAATGCCTGTTACAGTTCATCCACGGAATTTATTTTGTAAATGGTATTAATTTTATCTCTTTTGTCTGTTGGATCTTTCGGTTTGCACAATATTGAATTAAGGGATTTGACTGGCTTGTATGCTGCATCTATATCAAACGATTTAAGTATTCTAGCTGTTATTTCAGAGATATTTTTCATGTATGGTAGGATGCATTTTCTTTTGTTCTTTGATGATGGCTCATTGTTGGTATAGTGATTCGATTTTAAACACTTTTTGATGAAATTTTGTGGATAACCATTCTTTTTGAAGACCACTTGTAAGTATTTTTCTTCCATTCTTTTCAACTCTGGAGTGCTACAATGTGTTTGAACTCTTCTAAACAATGTCTGCACACAGTTTCTCTTGTGAGTAATTGGATTGTTGCTAGTATAGTTGAGTATTTGATCTGTGTGCGTTGATTTTCTATATACTTGTGTTTCTAAATTTCCTGTGTTGTTTCTCCTGATAAGGACATCCATAAATAGGGTTTTGTTATGTAATTCTTCTTCTCTTGTGAATTTGATGTCTTCAGATATGTTGTTTAGGAGTTTATAGGTATATTCCAAATCATTTTTCTTAATTATTACAAGTGTATCATCAAAGTAACGTATCCAGATTTTCGGTTTAATTGTAGGTAGAGCTATTAATTCTAATTTTGCATGACGACTTCAGCTATTAATCCTGATATGGGTGATCCCATTGGTGTTCCTTTTATCTGCTCATATATATATATATATATATATTCATATTGTCTCTCACACCAATGAGACTACATTCAACCCTTAAAACTTGTGCCTTCTGTTGGCTTCATTTCACTCGATCTCATCTTCTTTCTGACTGCACATATTCTAGATGAAAATCAAAACTAACGGACTGTTGTTCCCTCTTGTACTCATACCATGCAATCCACTTTCTGATATAATTCTAATTTGCCTTTACTGACTGCTGTGAATATATTGCTGAAATTAATGAATTTATGATTTTGGAGCACGAAGAAGAATTCTGCTGAAACCACAGTTTTTTCCTGGAGTCCTAGTGAGAAATTGTGACTAGTGAGGTCCAACCGGCCAAGTGTGAGGATGGATTTCCCACCGATGATATTGGTTGGTGGTCACGTTAAATCACGAATTGGTAGAAGTTAGAATTCATGAGCAGGCCACCGAATTGGGTCCCAGTAGCTGAATGGTATACGAACTAGCTTCCCTTGTAACCGGAAGGTCCTGCGTTCGAACCCTGTCAGCGGGTGCGTAGTGCTGGTGATTCCAAACCAGGATGAAACAGCTGGCTGTCTACTAATCCCTCACTGTTTTCACTGGTCTGTCTGTCTGTCTGGATTCAACATAGAACTTAGCACCGAAGTGCAGCACTTCGAGTTACCACGTTCCAAATAGCACACAAAAGTAGACAAGATGAGTGGAGAGAATTAATAGTTTCACAAGTATAAGAGTGAAACAGAATGGGTAATGGTAGAAAGGAATATGAAAGATTACAGAGACTGAATACATCTTCGCCATTGACAGCGACTTTGAGCCATATCACCTATTGTCTCCAGCCATTGATTCCTAGAGTCCCGGGGCCTCAACCCGGAAGTCTGCATCTCCCTACCCGACTCCAGTTCAACTGTCAATGATTTCATGGATTGATGAGGCCATGTTTTTGTTTGGCCACCACTTACTCTTTTCAAACCCGCACTTATATCAGCTAGTAATGCTCGTCGGGGGAGGCGATGGTTAGGCATGCGCACCACGTGACCTAGCCACATCAATCTATGTAACTTTATAGCCTCGTCGATTGATTTTCCCTCTTTGCCCAACACTCTACGCCTAACGTCAACATTACTTACCTTATTAAACCACCTAACGTGAGAAAGAGATCGCTAGTTTACTGATTCTGTAATTGATATCACCCCGTGGTCACACTCGTTAAAAAAACAAATCAAACTCTTGAAAATTTCGATTATCTTTTTGTAACTTACTAAATCAGGTTGTAAATATTCTTGTAAAAATGTTCTACATAATCGTCTATCCCAATCATCAGTTATATGCCCACCATACATAATTTCACCAAATAAATATCTCAAATCTTCCCATGGTACTTTATTATTTGCTTCTAAATAATTATATAACACATCTAAACAAATACACAAATCTCCAACATTGAATGGATATGTACGATTCCAACCTTGTGAACCAAATTTACTACGTTCGGTAACCACGGCATGAAAATAACATAGAGCAAATAAAATCGGTTTGAATTCTGCTTCTTTTGTACAACGTTCAAGTGTTTCCTGTACACATATATTTATTTCAAACAAGAAAAATAACAAAACAAAAAGAAAACAATCGAGTTCACTAATCCCATTTGTTTCAATGAATTAACTGGTCGGTTTCCAATGGAAACCATTGTTTACACTAAAAGTAAACAATTTATAAAGTACTAATTAGCTTCAAAATAATATTACCATAAACTGCACAGTTAACAGGCCATTGACTGACTGACTGAGATTTCTACGTAGAACTTTGGGCAAAGTTTTACAATAGCATCTTAAGGGATGCAAACGCACAAGTGACCTTTAGACGACCAATCAGAAAATAGGAGAATTTTTGCATAAAATTTTACGCATATATACACAAAAAAGCATGAAAAAAAACATTTTACAGGGTATTTTTGTCTAATATGAGATAAAAAGGTCTCCCAACTATATTGAGGAGTTTCAGTGTTTAAACTTAACCAATTTCTATACATATATTCATCCAGATGACTAAAATTAACTTGGTTTTGAGAGGCGTTTAAAGCTGTGATTCTATTTTTTAGTCTTCCCCAGAAACTTTCGATTGAATTAAGCATGAGTACGAGTTATGGGATCGACAAAGTTATCCGAATGGTTGACTCGATGATGTATATATCCAAAATCCGATAATCGATTATATCCTGCCCATCCATCAGTGTGAATGGTAGGGCCTGGCAACACCAGCCTTTGAATAATAGGGAGGAGTGTATCAGCACTCCTATCTGGAATAAGTTCGATGAATCCTTTCCGAATCTGGGTGTCGTAAATTGCCAGAACTCAAACGTTATTTGCCCTAGCACGTCCCCGATTGTACTTCTTCTTTATAAGCACTGTTGCGTCGATATGAAACACAACACTGACTCCTTCCAGCACTTGAGTAACACTATTCATTTTCCACGACGCTATATATCGACAAAACTGGAACCATTGCACAGTAAACGTTAACGTATTATCTGTTTGAGCCTCATTTGGCCTCACCCCGGACTTTAAAATCCAGTAATGGCACAGAAACAGGATATTGGTCAACGAAAGTTTCGATTTTTTCAAAGAAAGTTCCTAAAAGACAATTAACTGAGAGTGTCACTTACCAGTACGAACGCTAGTTCGCTTCCTAAACTGTGTACATCTAAATATATATCCATCAATGACCTGGGTATACGGCTGCAGGTTCATAGTATGACCACAATTACATATCCGATACGTCCTATTAATCCATTATCTAGGCAGTATTGAAATACGTGATCTGGGTGAAATTTGCATCGGAACAGATGAACAGGGTTCATTTTCGGGCTAGAATAATGGTAGGTTTCCTCAACCAACGACTAGCAATCGTTCAACGTCATTTGAGCGTTCGCACTCCTGGGACGCTATTCTTGAACTTCGCCGAACTTTGTACAGAAGTGTAGACCTTCAACTTGTTGTCCTTCATATAACATTTAAACGTAGATAAGAAGAAACATCCAAGGGAGACGAAATAACTAAATACAGGAACATGATATTTCAATAGATCTGAGATGTCATAAAGAATGAATGCATCTGGGCTCTTTCACCTACAGTCTCAAATAACTGGTTCTTAGCTAGTTGAAGAACACAAACAAGCTAACATTGCTTGATAATGAAGGCTGGACATATGTAACACATATTCTAGCCATTTCGATTGAAAACAAAACACGTAGTTCAACGAAGAGTCTCTTTTTGGAGAATTCATTTTCTTATCTTCTTTGGGTAGAGTTGCGTAATGCGAAAACGGTCCGGAAAATTAGGTGTTGATGCAACTAGTGTAGTGGCAGTAGCAAAAGGTGATAAGTTGTGAAAAACGGTTGTTAAAAAGGAGTTACGTAATAATATGAAGAGTTTGATGATTGAATTGTGCTCAGGATAAACATAGGAACAAAGTAGAGAATACGAAATTACGTAAGAGTTATAAATGAATACAAGAATTATAAGCAATTAACGAAACACACAATTAAACAAAGTTATAGCGAAAATATTCATTCAGATATCTATAAAACACAAAATGATTGAGCAAAGAATATCCTTTTCGATAAATTCCTCTTCTGGCTCTACAATTATATGTGCATGTTTATATACACAGAATATTCTAGATTAGTAGTTAATAACAATATTAGTGTTTTTTAAATTATATCGATCCGTTAAATAAGATCAATGGAATTATCACAGATCATTAAAGATGCTTAAATTATAATGATAATAAAGATATAGTAGCAAATAGAATATTAGCTAAAATTAGGAAAATTCCACAAAAAGTCAGGATTATTCAAACCTAGATGGCCAAGGTAATGACAGTATCTGATAACTTCATTTGGATGCATAAATTAGGCTTGTTAATATGGATCCCCACAGCCTCAGCAATATTTAGCAATCGAACTCTTAAGGCAAAATTGAGATTCGCCGGCATGCGTAAATGACCCTAAAAGCCTGGTTAACATCAATCTTGTTTCTGTATTCACAAGATGAGATAGAATAGCGCTGCGAATAGATTTTGTTTGTCGTTTACTTAACCACACTGGATGATGTTTCGAAATCGACGAGGAACAAGCCTAATTGTACGGCCTATGTAACTGGCTCCACAGGAGCAGTTAAATTGGTAGATGATACACATGGAAGAGGCGAATCGGTATTATTTAAAAAAAACACTCATATTGTCATCGACTACTAATCTAGAATATTCTATGTATATAAACATGTATGTATATGTATATAGTTGTAGAGCCAGAAGAGGATTTTATCGAAAACAAAATTATGTCATCGAAAATCAACAAAGTTTTTTCCATGATAATAGAAGTGGCTGAGTAATTCTCTTTCATAGGCACAGCTCCAGTTTTTCTATGTGAATGGCGAGAGCTTCAGCGATACAAAAAGAACGAAACTGTATTGCCTTTGGTAAGTTATTCTTGACTCTGTAGATTACTTTGTAGCAGGAGGCGTTTGTTGTTGAGATAAGATGATCAATGTTAACCAGGTTTTCAATTATCGCACTCCTTATAGCACCAATATTGCCTTTTCGCAACCATGCTGGTTAGTGTTCTTGAATCCTCTTGGACATAGTGCACCTCGAACTACCGATTTACTTGGCTCCACAGCAGCAGGTGAACTGATATATGCACATAGAAGTGGTCAGATGCGGGGTGTTGTCCTTGAGGCTTCTGAAGATCAGTGGGCGACTGGAGAACACTATTCTTGGCAATACTGCAAAGAATAATCTTCTCATAGATGATATGATCCTTCTCTTGAAAATATTGCTTACTGAATCTCCCTTGAAATCTAAGTTCATGGAGAGTTTGTTTTTCAGAGCAAGTATAGTTTCATTCCTCTAAATTTTTAGTTTGATATTTTTGTCAATGAATCTTGGTAGGTATCCATTTTGGATGAAGAATTCTCTTAAAAGGTCTAATTCTTGAAACAAGCTGGCTTGTTTAAATCACTGGGTTCTACAAATGTTCAATCCATCAAAATGCATTGTAGTATTTATTTACTCCGTTCCATATTGTTTTAATCAACTAATTACCCTTAATCAGTGACAATATATGCTCGCGCACAATTTGAATTACGTTTCTACCCTATTGCTAAGGATTTTTCGAAAGAAATGGAGGCGAAATATTGTGGAATAGTTCACAGGATGCTTTGAATGGAATGATATTACTTCAGACAATATACATTGTTGGTTATTGTAATGTTTTGAAAATTCTGCCCAAGGAGTAAATAACTTGTATGTGTCCAAACCAAGTTCACTTTTAACAGTTTGAAAATATTTGGGCATTCAGGTATATGATATTCATTATAATAAAGTTTTTCTTGTATTTCCCAATCAATGAATGAAAAACAAAACGATATTGTTGTTTTTACTGACGTTTCGCTTTTTAATGCTACTGATAATAGCTTTATCAAAGTAGTATTATTAAACCGGAATTCAAAAAATCTCCTCAGCTTGTATATGACAACTTAATCATCATTCCTCAGTATGGGGTAATTTTGCATTGTCAAATTGGCCAGTTGGTAGAGACAACAAAATCAAGTCCAGATTGTTGGATTTGATAAGTTTGCCAATTTATAAAAGCAGCGGGTGTTTACATGATGAAATTGCTTATCAAATTGCTGTCGATTTTATCACTTCATGTGGGAGGGAGGAGGTGTTGTAACCACGTCATATTCAAGTATTGGTTTTGTTTGATTGGATGGAGGATTTCATCATCATCATTCATCTACGAGCTTGCCTTATAACCAGAAGGCCCTGTGTTTGAACCCCTGTAGTGGGTGCGTGTTGATGAAGAGTTCCAAACCAGGCTGAAGAAATAGCCATCTGGGAGTACTCCCAGGCTTTCGTACTTGTCACCACTCATCATCAAGACATGTGTTTACCCTTTTCGAGTCTCATATCCACGTTATTTAATGATAAAGCTAACAATTACAATAAACCTATGGCATATACTACTAAAAAGATTTATCAGCCGTATATAAAATATCAAATAGCGGAGAGACTGATTTGATGCCAAAGGAGAGGAAATGAACCACGATAGTATTGAGGGGAAATATGAAAGACACGCAAAGAAGACAGTGAAAAACAATCCTAAGGGCAAAAGTAGCCCAACGCAGAACATCTGCGCCAGTGACAATTTTAATATATATGGCATACATAGTTTCCTTATATGTGTGTATCAAATTGTAAATAAGCATTCCGTCACCAACCAAGGAAAGGTGGCATTCGCCTGCAATCTAGCTACTTGGAGGCCAGGGTGGGGAGTTTCGTGGTGCCGAAGGGCTCTTGCATAAGGGTGCTCATATTGATCAAGTGTCTACGCTAAGCACAGCATCGGTATGGACAACCTGTCGGAGGGCGCTGGCTTTCCAGATCGATTAATGGAGGCCACGGTAGTGTAGCGGGTAGCACCCATCGTATTGTGTGTTTCTTTGTCTTGTTTTCGTGTCTCCCAAGTTTCGCTGCCATTTCTTCTCTTTGACGTCAGATCTCTTCATCTCTCCGCTATTTGATGTTTTGTGTGACTGAACATTCCTTCATATACTACTGATAAATCTCGTTAGTAGCACACGCCAAAAACCATAGTTACATAACTCAACTCTCAAATGGCTTACCTGATTAAAGTTATCCAAAGCTTTGTGTAAATTAGCCAGCATACCTGTAGGCGGTTCATTAGTTATCTTGATAGCATTTTCTAATATCCCTTGTGGAATAATATGCGCTGATACATCGGCTGCTGGTTCTGCACTAACAAATACCCGATAATCTGGATGTGCATCTTCTGCATATTGCTCTAAACGTTTCTCTAGTGTACTTAACCAACGTGCAACTAAGTGAATATTTTGTAGGACAACCCATGCTCCATTCTTTGCTGCTGCCTCTAAAGCCTGTTCAGCAACAATCTCTTGACCTTGTCCAAGTGAAATATTATGAAAATTACCCTGTTCAACAGTGAAACCAAGTTTATGCCCCAGCACTTCAACATCTTTCAATGGATCAACCCCAGGAGATAATATAAAAAAGATTGGTACAGCTGGTCCAGATTCTTTAAATGATTTAGCCAATTCAATTTGTCGACCTTCAATAAACTTTGCACCAAATGTTGTCCCAATATAATGCCTCAGTGCATATGTCATTCGATCATGTCGTAAAGCACGCATCATACATAATTTTTCAATAGCACTTTTATTTTTCCATTCTTGAGGGAATTTCTCTTTCTCAGGGGCTTCACTTTCAAGAAATACTTTCCAACGTTTTGCTGAAGCGATAATATCTTTGTCCAAGTCACGAAAATTATTCATTTTCACTAGAGTTTGTACACCACCCCAATTCAAGTCATTTAAAAAGTCAACAGGACTTTGTACATCTGTAACGACGGGATATCTCAGCAGAAATCCATTAGAATTGGTGGTATTTCTTTGGATGTATACTGAATTTGTAACACCATTAAGACAGTGAAGACTAATTTATCGCGTTCAAATAAACCGCGAGTTGTATAAATAAATATTGAATATGTGATATTATCTAAGAGGAATAATAAGCGTTCTTTATCATTATCTGATTGTTCTGCAGTCTCAATCGACAATTCAAAGACAGTACGGAAGGCTTTCAATGAGAATTGATACATTGGATGTATCTGGCATAAATCATTCATAACAAAATAGATCAGAGCAGCACGTTGAGCAGCTGGTCGATAGTGTTCACGAGCAATATTGATCTCTTTCTCGGTTATCTTCGATTCTTTCACTTTTTCTTCAATATCTTTAGCTGTCTTTTTATTTGTCTCTAAATTTTCAACCAAAGAATGATCACCAAGAAAATTCCCATCGGATGAAGATAACTTGGCCAGTAGAGAATCCTCAAGTTGTTTCAATGTGATCTTAAATTCATTTTGTTGTTTTGTTAGATTAGATTTTAACTTTTCTAAATCTGGACGTTCTTTACTCACAACTGTTGCTAACAATTGATCTTCTAAACCATCACGTGTTACTGTGAAGTTGATCAGTGTGGCTTGTGCTTGTAATTCTGGTTGATAATGTGGATTGGCTAGTTTTGTTTGTAGAATTAAACGGAAATTAGCATTGTATGGGATTTCTTTATCACCCAGTAGGATAAATCGACCTTTTTTAATTGTCTGCCGTCCAATTACAGGATCTAGAATAGGATCAATAGTCTCACCGATATTTTCAATTAATACAACACGTCCATCTGTAATAGCTAATTCAATTTGTTCTAAACAATTTTTAGCGCCAAGCCGTGTAACGACTAATTCATTGCCATATTTAACCTTGATCCATTTAATCGCTTGTAACTGGGGATCAACACACAATGGCCAACGTTCACAAAATGTAAATATTGTAGCATTTTCAATAGACATACGATCCTCTGGTAAAGATTGATTATTCCATGTTGCAATGATTGCATCATCAATCAGCATATCTAAAGGATCTATTCCATTACGTACAGGTATTGGTACCTGGAGACTTTTCAGAAATGGCCACAATTTAACATTCAACAGCTGTTGACGAAATGTTCGACTTAAATAACCAAAATAAGAGATAAAACTTGTTGTTATTAAAACATCTCCGACAACTGTCTCACCGAGTACCTTTAATTCTTCAACTTGATTTGCCCATCTTATATTTTCTGAGGCAAAACCATTCACCAATCGATTGGCTAAATCTAATGTTTTAGCCGTAAAATCAGCTTCTTGTTGACAGCGTAACTTTTCTTCAGTAGCCTCACGGAAGTTGGCTGTTAACTCAGCTAACGATGCTTCAAGCACAGCGATTTTCTTTTGTAAACCTTCAAGTTTCTCCGTAGCTTGACGTAATTCTTCGTTGGCTGCATCCAAGGCATCACGTTTCGGTTTTACTTCACAGTAGACATCATGAAATTTCAGGATATTGATTACCCATGAACAGAGACCAGCAGCAGCCAACGATTTAGTCCGAATTACATCAGGATCAAAATTTGGCATTTTAACATACTCTGAAGCTGCAGCCTTACTATTCGCTGACATATTCTCCTTGTCGTAATTTAAGAGATTACTTAAAAATTGATCCGCTTTAGACATGATACCAGCTTTAGCAGCTTTCCAACTTCTATCCTTTGGCAGTCGACCATCCATGGCGAATAAACACATGACAGCGGAACAAACAGTCACAACATCTGGTGGTGGACTAGTCAATGCCTTCAATTCAGACAAGTTATTTTTATTCAGTGTATTCAAGGCTTCTTGGGCGGCAATCAATGCTGGTTCTGCTTTACGCAGATCATTTTCACACTCTTGTTGTTTCACTTCAACTTCTGCTTTAATAACACTGACTTTTGCTTCTTCTTCAGCGGCAATTTCTTTTTCAGCTGTCACCTTTTCAGTTTCTTTACCAACAACAATAATTAGTTTATTGGCATTTTCAGTTTTTTCATTGACAATAATTTCTTGTTCAGCCAGTTGAACTTTTAATTCACTAGTTTGTTCACCAGCACTTTTTAGTCGTTCTAAACCATTGACTAAACGTTCAATCTTGTGTTGTAACTCATCGATCTGTGCACCAACCATACGTTTGTATAGACTAATTTGTTCTAGAAATGATTTTGGTGTTGTATAGTTATGACGTCGTTCTTTCTGGAGGTATTGTTGACTTAATTCATTGACTGTTGTATGAGCGTATGCCATGTATTGGCTAACAGATTTGCGTACTTCATCCTGAAAATGCGCGGGAAAAAAGGTGTATAGGCATACACATGAATCAATAAAAGGCACACAAAAATGTGATGCAGTTTTAGCATTATTATTATTATTCATTGTCATGACTATTTCAAGCATCAGTCACTATCAATGAGAGAAATTTAAAGAAGAGGTCATTTCCTTCACTTATCTAGGCAGTTTCATTTCAACTACAGGCAGTCAGAAAGGATCAGGATGTGAAAAAGCGAATCAAAAAGCAAGGTAGACATTCATCACTCTTAAATCAAGTGTTAGTTTGTAGGGATTTGGTTGATTGGTTACAGGATTTCATCATGAGCTAACCTAAGTTAGAGAACCATCGGAAAACCAGCTGAAAGTACTGGACAGCTGTTTTGTTCTTTTTGTTGCTGTTGGCGAGAAATCTTCGTCACTCCTGTTTTTCTATGTTCACCTGAAGTCCTATCTTCTCTGGATGCTTCTTTTATCGCCAAGTTGTTGCGTTTCACTTGCATATCCTCCGGTTTATGAGAAATTGGATATAAACTGTCGGTAAAGTCCATATCTCCAAGCGTTTTGTGTAGGTCCATTTTATGTCTGTCTCTCGTTGCCCGCTGTCTGTCGCATTGTCAAGTTTACCACAATCAGGTAAATTATTGGAAAAATTGTAGTGGGCATCCAGCTTGTCTTACTTCCGTCTTCACTTCTTCGAAGGATTCCGAGAGTTTCCCGTAGTGAATTACTTGGCATGCAGCATAGTCGTACAACTGTTGGATGAGGTGCATAATTGTCGGCAGCACCCTGTAGTAACAAAGTAGTTGCCGAATCTCCTCTCGATCGACACTGTCTGCTGAAGGCCTTTTCAAAGCCGATGAAGTTGAGTGAGGTGGAGAGCTGATTACCATTCCAAGCTCTGTTCAATAATTATCCATATTGTTGTGATTTGATCAATGCATGACTTGTTCCTCCTGAATCCAGCCTGTTCTGGTCGAAGTTTTTCATCCAGAGCGTGTTTAGACACACATTAAACTAGTTACTAACCAGCCTGAATAACTCAGTGGTAACTTCTCTGACTGACTGACTGACTGTAGCACTGAGTGACACGGGTTCACATCTCAGAAGGAGGGACATAAATTCCTAAAAGACTGCAAATAAACCATGCTGACCGATGAATGACAATAAACAAAAAGCTTATGTCGAAGGCTTCTTGTGGATTGCCTTATGAAGTAATCAACCACCACCGACTACTGTAAACTCTATACAGTACATCAGCTTTGCATAAAAAACTATAACTCGACCAATGGAACACTCCATTCTTTTCTATACTCATCGGTAATATTTGAAATTTTTATTCGCGATTTCGAAAATGTTCAGTTTCTTTCAGTGATCATTTCATCTTTTAAAATCCACCCCCCCCCCCCCGAAAAAGAAACTCACACACACACAAAGAAAATGTTCCACTCAAAGATTGGGAATTCAACTTACTGATAAACCTGGACAATCTTCTAAGAATCTTTCTGAAACAGACAGTAAGGCTTCTTGTGGCCATTCATGGAACCAATCAATACATGTACAATTAACCAGGGCTGGGAAACGTCTTGCTCTTAGACGAAGTTTATCACCAACCGGAGAGAAGCATAAAATAACCTATAAAAAATAAACGCTACTAAGGATGAGAATGAAAATTTTAGTACTTTGAAATACTTAACAATGTAATACCTACTCAACACTTGAGGAATGATTTGAATAAAGTAGACACGAAGTGGACAGTATATCTTCATTTCAGTAGTCTGGTTCCTATCCAGTATAAACGTTCCTGCTTTCAAGCTCCTATAAAATTTTCACGAATGCACACTAATGGATGAGCTAGCTACTTCAGAGATATTTAGTTTCACTAACTAATGGTTATCCTGAAGACTTCATCGTATGTCACGGTAAAGAGGGATTATACCCCCTGAAAAGACTGATTCCGTACCAAAGTTATCTTTATTAAACTAATACGATTCACGGTGACCAGACATTGCAACCGATAGACCAAAGGTTTCAGTCTGCTGTCAGACGGACATTCTACGCCCGATCCTCAGCATTTTTGTTCCCTTTACTTATGATTCAAGGACTCTACTTCATACTGTATCTACAAGTTCATCTGTGGACGCGACGATACATAGATATTGGTAGAACTAATAGAATCCTCCAGTATTGTTGGAAACACCACGTTCTAAAGGGGTTGTCAAGTTACATGGAAATTTAAAATGTAATTAATCTAAATAGAAATCCATCATTAACCAACAGCAAAGCACTAATTCATGACTGCTACTCAGTTATTTCAGGGTTGGAAGCACTTTAGATTAATCATATGCGTACTAAACTATGTATGCACAAAAATCAATAGACTTAAACCCTTGTCTACTATGGACTACTTGACTTACTTAAATATGATTGGTACTTTTGTTTCATGTCACTGAGTAACTGTTCATACATTTTATTTATTTTTTATTGTGAACCATAGTAGTTGCACAGCGAAATTAGGGAAATTACGAAACGATGACGTCATCTCACAATATTCTGTCTTCTAAATACATCTCGACTTATTCAAGTGTTGGTTTGTAGGGATTTGATTGGTTACAGGATATCATCATGAGTTGACATTGGTTAGAGAACCATTGAAAAACCACCTGGAGTACTGTGCAGATGTTTCGCCCTATTTCGGGACTCACCAGGTTCGAACCAAGAACCTACTGATTACATGGCGAGCTCGTAGACCACTAAGCCTGGGGGTTCTAATGAGAAGTCGTGACCAGAAGCGTGCAGCAGGTCGGGTGTGAGGACAAAAACTCGCCGAAGACATTGGCTAGTGGTTGCGCTACATTGTGAATTGACAGAAGTTGGAATTCATGCACTGGCTGGCCATCGGATTGGGCTAAGTGGTCAAAGAGCTCGCTGGCCTTGTAACCGGAAGGTGCTGCGTTCGAACCTCTGTAGTGCGTGCGTACTCATGAAGAGTCTTAAACTTAGACGAAACACCCGTCCAGTACTCCCAGATTTTCCAATGGTTCTCTAGTATTCCATTTCTAGACGTCTTTATGACCAGAAAAGAGAATGGCACAATAAGAGGAAGTATTTATAGAAAACCTACATCAACGGGCCAGTACACACATTTTCTCAGCTTTGTACCCTTGAAATACAAACGCAATTTGATAAAGTGCCTGGTTCACAGAACAAGAGCGATTTGCTCGGACGAATGTCTTGATGAAGAACTGAATAATATTAATCGGTTGCTAAGTTTATTGATAAGAACATGAATCTAAAATCATAGCAGCCCAAGTTACCAACAGTTTCAAAAAAGGCCTTATTCTTACAGATGAAGTTCCTTGGGGACAACACTAGCGAGATACTAACACAGCGCATTAGAAATGCAGTAAAAGGAGCATTCCCTGCTGCTGAATTATGCTGTGTTTTCAAAACCAATCCTCCTCTGCCTTCGGGAGTAAAAGATAAACTGCTTAATTTCGCCTCTTTCATGTGTATCATCTACCAATTTAACTGCTCCTGTGGAGCCAGTTACATAGGCCGTACAATTAGGCTTGTTCCTCGTCGATTTCCAAATATCATCCAGTGTGGTTAAGCAAAGGACAAACAAAATCTATTCGCAGCGCTATTCTATCTCATCTTTTGAATACATAACGCAAGATTGATGTTAACCAGGCTTTTAGGGTCATTTACCGCATACCTACGAATCTCAATTTTGCCTTAAGAGTTCGACTACTAAATATTGCTGAGGCTGTGGGGATCCATATTAAGAAGCCTAATTTGTGCATCCAAATGAAGTTAGTTCAGACACTGTCATTACCTTGGTCATCTAGGTTTGAATAATCCTGACTTTTTGTGGAATTTTCCTAATTTTAGCTAATATTCTATTTGCTACTATATCTTTATTATTATTATTATTTAAGCATCTTTAATGAACTGTGATAATTCCATTGATCTTATTTTGCAAATCGATATAATTTAAAAAACACTAATATTGTTATTAACTACTCATCTAGAATATTCTGTGTATATAAATATATATATATATATATATATATATATATATATATATATATATATAATTGTAGAACCGGGAAGAGGAATTTATCGAAAAGAATATTCTTTGTTCGATAATTTTGTGTTTTATACATCGCGACTTAGTCTAACAGGGTATATCGTCCATGATCTCAGTCCCCAGATGGGTTAAATGACAGTATAGTGTTAAGGCAATCGTTATTTGGCTGGCAGGAGCTACTAATCATTTGAATCTTTCATGAAAGTTATTATTCATGTTAAAACGGTGTAAATGCCTTGTTATTTTATTGTTTATACCAGCCTATTTAATGTTTGTCCACTACAGTACTGAGTAGTTTCAAAGTATGCCAAGCTGATCTCCTGTGTAACAACAGAAGACAAGGGCCGGCAACAGATCGTTTTATTACGGAAATCAGCACGTATTTATAAATATTTCCTGTACATTATTATAGCTTATTCAAGCAGACAAACACAATCTTTTGATTGGGTGTTTCTGGTTTCTCGGAAAGTTAAGCCATATATCTGTGAATATTATTCGCCCACGTTAAGTCTGCTGTGATTGGTTGTTGAATCAGCCTTGTTCATATTTTCTCACGGCCAATATTAGTGACCTAGACATTGATGTAAATTGACGTCTACCAATTGGCTACCGGCCTGCTCTCACCACACCTGCACTTCTATGCACAATTCCATATTGATCTGTTATTCATCGAGTATTTCTAATAGTGAATTATTGTCATTGACCATTTTTCCAAGAAAAAAACAACATCAACAACAGATGTTGTAAAAGATGAGGGAATGCCATGAAGAGTCTCAGTGAGAACACCAACACTCAGTGAGGGTTGTAGATAAACCTAGTTGACGAGTTCCAAGTAGGACGAAATGCACATTCCTGTTAGTCAAATTACTCTGTGTAGAATGGGACTAATTTCATAATCTCTTGCCTACTGATTAAGGATTTGAATGAAGCGACAACAACAGCGATTTGTGCAGAATAAGATGGTACTATAATTTATTTGGTTGACTTCTCATCAGCTGAGTGTAGACTAGAGGAATCATTATTCAGTCTATGTAGAGAGCAACATACTCGCAAATATGGTGGCGTGATGTCAGTGGATAGGAGGCTCGAAACTTAATAAACAGTGCTCAGAAACCACGCTCATATGGTTTATACCCAGAAAGTCAAAATTCAGACAAAAGCAAATGCTTGGATAGGATGCGAAAGGGGTTACGTAATAAGGACGGGAGGTGAGCAGAAAGATGAATGACTGTATCAAAAGATGGAGGGGTTAAAGGCAAAGATTACGTAATCAACTGAAAGAGAGGGAGAATAAATGAATCCAGTTATGAGAGCGAAGAAATACTGGTAACCGCCTCTTTTTGAATACATAAACAGGGTTCCAGTCGTTTGATAGGTACTGCTTAGTCAAACTTAAGCAGGGATGAACTATTTTGTCTATTGATAATTTTAAAGGATTTCGCGATATCCACCTCATGATTCGCATCGATGAGATGTCTGGCAGTGGTATCATTGTAAGCATTTGTCTCTTTGAAACATGAGCTTTTTGCTACACGTGCATAAAATTGAAGGTATATCCTTCTTGATGTCTTCACAGTATAACTGCGCATACTTTAATTCACATTGATGAATAGCATTGCCCACCAAAAATATATCTATATTTTTTATAATACAACAGTTGCCTACTGATAATATATTAAGTAATATTAGACTGTATAGGCAAAAATTACTATTATCATCTAACTTACACGTAACATTTTTCGTGTCTTATCTATAAAGTATTTCCAACAATTTTCATTTGTATCAATAATTCCCATTGCTTTAACTTCTGATCGAATACCTTGTATAATCTGATCAAAATCTTCATCTTGAAAAAGATTTGGTATTTCACCTGAGGCTAAGAAATCATTCACATAGACGAGAAAGCGTTCATCTGCAACCTAATTAACAAAACAATACATAGAATAATTTAATGAATTTGTCTTTATTCAACTCTCTGATTGATTTTTATTATACCGCTTAATCTGATATAAGAAATGCGTGAATAGATGAAATGTATGCATGATGATGTATGCTACTGACTGGTTAATATTATGGTGTGTGCTACTAATAAGGTTTCTCAGTAGTATATAGATGCAGATATAAATATGTATGTCAGCTGCAAGAATATCGAATAGCGGAGGAATGGATTTAATGAAGATGATGATTGTGAATACGTGACCGCATCTACTTCTAGTCTTATTGGAGAGAAAGAATGCACATTGTACTGTCTAAAACTTTACCTTTTCCATGTTTCTGGGCAGTAATTCCTCTGGTCTTTTCTGCCACCCATTCGTAGCGTCTCAGCTTCACTCTGCGAATCTTCAATTTTCTGTTCCCACTAGTTCGATTTTGGTGCCTCTTTTGAGGCTACGGTTGTGTTCCGTATCTATATTGTTACCTTCAAGGGCGTCGACAAGTTGTAGTTGCTGAGCAATATATTCTGGGACACTTTCGATAAACAGCTGAGTCTCTGACTCTTCGTTAAGTTTGGGAAGCGCCTAATGACGTAGACGTGCTGGCTTCACTGCCAATACAAGTGGGCCTCCACCTAGTCCCAGCTTCATGGTACGGAACCGGTACATTGCCCTGCTGCCTATATGTTGGGTCGTCGAACTCCGCTACTAACTGTTCCACCAATACCTACTTTGCAGGTTTCTTCACCACCTGCCGGCTTTACACCGTCATGCGCCGCCGCTGATCGACCTCTCGACACCGTCCCCAGCACAATCGTCTTCGCCATCAGATCCATAATGCCCACCAACTCAGCATATAAGTTCCGTAAGAAGCTCCTGACATGTTCTTAGAAAGCAGCAGGTCATGAGATCTTCATTGTCCGAAGGCAGTGACACCAAATGTAACGGAAGAAGATAAGAGGATTTGGTAACAGAATTGCTTATCAGCAACTCGATACACAGATATGGACAAAATACTTCTACAACATATTAGAATCCCAAGTTGCACATATCTTCATTATTGTGCCTCTTTGTTATCTTTTCATATTTTCCATGTTGTTTCGCAATCATAGCGTTCATTGAATCAGTATTCTTATAGATGACATAGATATTTATTTCTGTACGTACACACTACTTAAAAATCTTTTCAGTAGCATACGTCACAACGAGTAGTTGAATCCAATTCACACCAACCAGTAATGCTCATTTGATATTAGAACAAGACATATAAGCGAACAGTACTGTTTTCAGTTAGATCTTCCTCAGGCTTTACTCTAAGTTACATAGATTTATATATATATATATATATATATATATATATATATATATATATATATATATATAAATTTTAATCAATGATGGTGAGTTTGTGGATGCACAAACTAGAAAAGATATAAGCTGATGTAAGTACGAGGCATTTTCTTCAGTGAAATTCCCACGTAATTAGCTGACTTCAACTAGAAATACATTGAAAGATTAAGGGTATTTAAAAGCTTCTTTCAAGTATTTAGGGACATTCCAACACTACAGACTTAAAATCGTCGATAAATTGTAGCCCACACTGATAGAGTCACATAATATACCATTCCATCAAGTTTTCAGAACACGGTAAACCGTATTCTTCGACTAAAACCAACTCATGATGTATGACAGCCATATTCGCATATCGTCGATAAGTAGCCATCGTCAAGTCAAAGTCATTCGTAGCCGAAAAAATGGAATTTCTGGTGAAAACTTTATAAAATACATCCTATTTTTTTGTTTTGTTTCGATACAAGTACTCAGGTTGTAAAAACAGAAGACAAAGGCCAGGCAACAGATCCTTTATTAAGGAGATCAACACATATTTCTAGATTTTCATGTACGTTATTATAGATTATTGTTAGCTGACAAACACAGTCTTCTGATTGGTGGCTTCTCGCTGAACGTTAATCTTTCATCTCTTTGTGGCCGTTTACTGAAGTTCAGATCATCTACCTGCAAACTGTATCCACCTACGCAAAGTGTGCTGTGATTGGCTGTTGAGTCAGTCTTTGTTCTTATTTTTCTCCCGAACAATATCGGAGACGTAAACATTGACGTAAATTACTATCACCAATTTGGCTAGCAGCCAGCTCTCACCATAAGATTAAAAACATCTAAATATCTCCATTCTAATGGACATAGTGAACAAGTAAAAAGATAAGCAGTCGTACTATCAGTTACTCCTTATGCTCCACCTGGAACATGATGTGAAGATTCGCGGACAGTGATTATGCATACATCGGTAGAATAAAGGTGTTTGGAACTCATGAGTATTTAGAAAAATCGAGTATTCATCTCAATAGACTTTAGAATATTACAAAATGGAGCATAGGGATTCAGCGATACATCTCAACTGTACACTGTCACATTGTTTTCACCTTTCTGCGTGACTTTCAATAAGTTTTCATCTCCTCTTCATAAGATCCACTTTATGCAGCCCTCGGATCCCATGCCCGACTCGCTGCTTCCCATTTGGTTTCTGCTTAGGCAGGCGTTAGTGTGTGATTCTCACGGAATAAGTTTTTGATCCCACCTATGTTGGGAATATTCTACCTGATTCAAAGCTACTTCTTACGGTTGGCTCCTGGTTAAGTAATTTCGTTCTACACACTACTTGTTTTGTCCTTGGAATGTTCTCTTGACTGTATGGTTACTTAACAGCGTTGCTGAGGTCATTTTGAGTTTTCTACGCTATTATTGTCCAACAGAACATAAGGAGATCTAACTATGAATAACCTTTTTTTACTGCCTTTGAGCTGTAATCTACGAATGTTTGGCATGCGATTCGCTCCCGCCAAATGTAAGATAATGGTACAGGACTGGACTACACCGACTCCTAGTTTAGAAATAGGAAGTGAAGTGGTTGGTGTAGCACGTTGACCGCTTCACTTATTTGGGAAGTACCATCAGCTAGTGCCAACGGGTTGATCTCTGACGAAATCTCACCAAGGATACAGAGGGCTAGTTTCCCATATGCCAGTTTACGCTGTCTCTGGAGTAGACGTGATATCCGGCTGGCTATCGACCGAAGGGCGTGTGTACTGCTCATCAGTCCGCTCCGTCCTTCTATATGGCTGTGAGCAAGACCTGGACATTGAGAGTGGAAGACATGAAAAGATTAGCTGTCTTCGATTATAGGTGCCTGCGCTCTATCTCCCGTGTGAAGTGGTATAATAAGATGAGCAATACTGAGGTTAGGCGTCCGTCGAGTGCTAGGTAAGTAGGGGAAACCATTCGATGAGGCTGTGAAGTTACACCGATTGAGATGGTTACGTATCCCTAGTCATCGCCTTGCTCGACAATGGGCAATGTTAGCTGACTGGCATAGGGTCAGGCTGGAAAAGAGCTAGCGGCGGTCAAATCAAACATGGCACCAGTCAATGAAATCTACAACAGTTAGTTTACGCCAATCACCTAGGAAGGGGTCGACTTCCTGACTGGTTGGGGTCCTCAGGACGGTAAGAACCAGTGGTTGGAAACAATTGGTGACATGGCTCAAAATCGTTCTCAACGGCTGGCGCGGATGCATCCACTCCTTGTGACTTATGATTTCCAGTGAAACTATATTGTTCTTCATTTTTACTATTACTTTTGTCTCATATCTCTGCCTACTGTCTCTATTATGCATTTCTTCTACTTTCGTCACTTGCTTTGTGTGCTACATGGAGGGAGTGTGGCGACTTGAAGTGCCGCCTATCGGTGAAAATTTCTATGTCGGAAACAGACAGACAGACAGACTGTCTTTGAAACATTTTATGACTGTGCGTGTCCAAAGGAATTTTCGGTAAGGAAATTTTGGCGCTATCTAGTCCAAAGCTCAAAAAAGGAGGGGAGGTTAAGGGGAAGATCTAGCAACGCCACCTCACGATATCAGCACAAAAGCTAAGGAAACTTTAAACACAGAAAAAGATTAACATTAATAGCCTTGTCTTTATCTGTTACCGAGTCTATTCAACAACTTCGTGATTAGAATGACTGCTATCCGACTAAGCGGTACAGATTTGATCACCCGGTCACCAATACACTTGTAGACCTCACCAAGCCGTTACGAAGGCCTGAAAGAAAGAAGGTTGGGCGTAAAGCTAGCGATTCCACCGCGTAAAATGAAAAGAATCGCTTCTGAAACTTCATAGCTTGTAGCCCTATGTTCCACTTGAAATGCAAAAGAGGCAAACACAACGAATAACGACCACGGAGCGCGAAAGCGGATTAAAGAACGTGCCGCGTATTTATAAGTTAACATAATAATATTAATAATGAAACACACTAAAGATGACATTTTGCCCTGATGTAACTGAGAGGCATCAGTTTTCAAGTTTCATAGCCAACAAAATGGTTCCATCTATGTCAACAAGGAAACATTCTCCTCTCATTTTATTTATTTACAAGGAAAATACAGACAATGATGTTAAAACACCTTAAATCTACTACTTGAAGACATGACCGGTATGAAATCACACCTCACTTCATGCACAACATTCATACTGGTGCCGTAATGACGCGGCAGATTCTACAATCCAACGCACGACATGTGTTCGAAGTCATTGGTGTGCCTTCACACTTCACAGTCACTATTCTTTAGACTGGTCAGCAAAGCAATGCAAAAAATACAACTTTATTAAATATGCATTACTGAAAATGCGAAAATTCCACCTACCTGTGCATCAGTCATTAAAAATACATACGGCATATTCTTCAATGATGCTTTAATATACAATTGGGCAAGATGTGCTCTTAAATCATTCTGTGAGTAGCCCTTACGCAAAACTATTTGTGATAAATAAAATCCTGAGATAAATGCAGCTAAACGTGATAGCGACTGTTTACCAGAACCACCGATTCCAATGAGTAAAGCACTACCCCTCGGCATTTCTAATATTCGACAAATTCTTAACACATGTATCACAGCATCACTAAATAATACTAAATTCATAACAGCAAATGTATCATTGTAATTGTTCAATGCATTAACAACAATATCACTAATTTCTTCCAGGGAGGATGCAGGCCCGTATTGTCGTTCAGCGGATAAACCTTTATTGAAACTGCAATACAGGAGAGGTTCACTTGTTATCTGATGAATTGATATATCAGGGAATTGATTAGTAATACCAAATGTGATATGTTTCAAAGCTGTTTCAACATCATTCATATCAATCATTTTGTCAGTGTAAACACGGATCGCTTCATGACGATATTGTCGGATAACAGAGATTACAGTCGGGAAGACATCAGGTTGAGCAAACAGAAGACACTATGAAAACGACAGGAAGAAGAATAACAGTCATAAAAACAAAAGTATCGAAAAAATTAGATGGAACAACAATATATATTATAGAATCTTAAATAATAGAGACGATTTGTAGCTCAGGTGGATGATTTGCAATTAATAGTGTTCTCTGAGCTTGTTGGTTTAGTTGTGGAGCTTTCGTCGTTCACCTTTCTGGACAACATCCCCCTTCAGCGCAATTTGTAGCATAGAGTGAAGTGATTTAAATTTTTTTTCATGAGTGACAGAATTATATCTCCCGGTAACCATCTCTATACATGTATTGATCATTTTCTATTGACTTGGATTGTAAACTTCTGGTCACATGATTTACACTTTTTATTAGTTGGTATATTTGGTCTATATATTAACGTGTTTGTTCATCGCTGGCTGATTCGTTTGAGTACCAGGCTTCTAGGAATTCCCTGACTGCATTTTTGATGTTTCCTCTGTCTAAGATTTCGACATTATCCCAATCAAACTGATGTCCATAATTGTCTATATGCATTGATATGAAAGAATATATATATACATATATCATGTCTTTTCACGGCTGATTTGTGTTCCTGGATTCTGATTCGAAGGGGATGTCCAATCTGGCCGATGTAATGCCTGTTACAGTTCATCCACGGAATTTATTTTGTAAATGGTATTAATTTTATCTCCTTTGTCTGTAGGTTCTTTCGGTTTGCACAATATCGAATTACATTACATCGGCCAAAGTGGGCGTCTCCTTCGAATCAGAATCCAGGAACACAAATCAGCCGTGAAAAGACATGATATATGTATATATATATTCTTTCATATCAATGCATATAGACAATTATGGACATCAGTTTGATTGGGATAATGTCGAAATCTTAGACAGAGGAAACATCGAAAATGCAGTCAGGGAATTCCTAGAAGCCTGGTACTCAAACGAATCAGCCAGCGATGAACAAACACGTTAATATATAGACCAAATATACCAACTAACAAAAAGTGTAAATCATGTGACCAGGAAGTTTAAAATCCAAGTCAATAGAAAATGATCAATACATATGTAAAGATGGTTACCGGGAGATACAATTCTGTCACTCATGAAAAAAATTTAAATCACTTCACTCTATGCTACAAATTGCGCTGAAGGGGGATGTTGTCCAGAAAGGTGAACGACGAAAGCTCCACAACTAAACCAACAAGCTCAGAGAACACTATTAATTCCATATTATAGAATCTGTCTGTCACGATGGACAGTCTTCTTTGTAAGCCGTTCGCGTCACGATTTATACATGTACTAATATGATAACCTGATTGGACAGTTTTGTTTCGATTGTTTATGGCTTAATTTTCTGAGGTATTTCGGGCATCAAAAAAATAACCAGATTTCTCCATCTACATATATTGATTCGCCTGTATAAACTCAAACGGAACAAAACTAAATCTTCATGCAGAGTATTATTAGGACAGCATTTAATTCATTGGATACTCATCAGTCGACTTCAAATTGAAGTATGCGCTGAAGATGTTGCCTAGTAGTGGGGCAATGAAAGCTTCACAAATAAGCCATTCAGCTAGCTCAAAGAACACAACTACATCAAAATCATCCACCTGAGCTACAAATCTTCTTCATTATGTATCTAAATATGTTCTTGGTCGGTTTATTACCAGATTTCCTCGTTGCTTATGCTTTCCAGTCGGTTATTTGATCTTCAATATCGAGTTGAATCGTTGTTGAAGCGTTAGAATTTTCACTAACCAGGCCCCTTATGGCCAGAGGTTCGATCTATGGCCAACGCAATCCCTAAACCTCACTCAGCTGGTAGTAAACCGAGTAAAAAGGAGAAGACAGGCATGAGCCTAGACATCCCAATCTGTTAAAATGAAACCACTTCCACTGAAACATCACAGATTAAGCATGAATCTTTATTTTACACTTGGAAGGTGAAAGATGAAGCGAGGGAAGCAAATGTTGATAAAAGTATATGTTCTCCTGTTGAAAATGCTACTGGGGATGCCAGCACCGAATCTCTGGACCATATATATATACATATATATATATATATCAAGTATTGGTTTTCAGGGACTTACTTGGTTACGGGTTTGTCAATGACTTGACATCAGTTAAGGAACCACTAGAAAACCTGGGAATACTGGACAGCTGTTTCATCCTATTATGTGACTCGGGGTCCCGGTTGCTTAACGGTTCATGAGCCAGCTTGAATTGTAACCAAAACGTCCTGGATTCGAACCCCAGTCTGTGCGTGTTGTTGAAAAGTGGCAAACTAGGACGAAACAGCTGTCAATGTATATATATTATTATTGTATCCTTTAGTTCCTAGAGGAACATAGGGCTTCAGCTGCGCACCTCCATTGACTTCGGTTTGCTGATAACTTTTTCACCCTGCTCCGGGTCTGTCCACATCCTTTCATCTCCTCCTCGCATGACCTCCTCCAAGTCACCGTAGCACTGACGACCAACTCGCCGCTTCCCTTTCGGGTTCCACTCGAGCAATGGCTTGTCTAGTGATGTCACTTGATCGTTTCCTCAGACTATGGCCAATCCATCTCCATTTCTTTCTGCCTATTTGTTTCACAATCGGTTCCTGATTGGTTCGCTCCCAGAGATCCTTGTTGCTGATCTTTTCTGGCCAGCCATCTGATCTTGAGTAGTATTGAGCGAAGAGAACTGTTAATGAAGGTCTGAAGTTTGTTTGAGATGCTATTTATGACTCGCCAAGTCTCTGATCCGTATAGTAGCACTGACTTCACATTGGAGTTGAAAATCCGGATCTTATTTTTGATGCTGATTGCTGTTGACCTCCACACAGATTTGAGAGTAATGAAAGCTTGTCTTGCTTTTCCGATTCTGGCTTTGATGTCCTCGTCAGTTCCGCCTGTAGTTGAGACGATGCTTCCCAGGTAGGTGAAGGAGGTTGTTTCTTTCAGGTTCTTCCCATTTATGCTTATTGTGGTCTGTTGGTGTTGTTGATGTTGGCTAGGAATCTTCATTATCTCTGTTTTATCTATGTTCACGTGAAGTCCTATCTTTGATGCTTCTTCTGCCAACTTGTTACTTTTCACTTGCATATCTTCCAGTTTATGGGAAATCAGACATATATCATCGGCGAAATCCAGATCCTCCAAGTCTTTTGTGTCAGTCCATTTTATGCCTGTTCCCTCGTTGGTTGCCGTTGTCTGTCGCATTATCCAATCAATTGCAATCAGGAAGATCATTGGTGATAGTAGACAGCCTTGCCTCACTCCCGTCCTCACTTCGAAGGCTTCCGTAAGTTTCCCGTTGTGGATTACTTGGCATGCAGCATTGTCGTATAACTGTTGGATGAGGTGTATAATTGTCGATGGGACCCCGTAGTAGCGAAGTAGTTTCCACTCGGTTAGTGAAGCAGTAAAATAAAATAATCTTTGATAACTCAACTTTCCCTAGGTCATAAAGTATGGATGTCTTGCTTCAGTCCCAATACAAACATCAAAATGACTGCAGCTAATGTTTTTTCAAAAATAAAAGGGAAAAGGGATGACAACTCAAATGTCTAAGGAGACTAATGAAGCTCCAGTACAACACCAATCAGAACACACATGGAAAGCTATTATTGGGAAACTTCAGGAGTTAAGTTTTTAACACTACATGGAGGATTTCATCATAAGTTGACATCAGTTAGAGAACCACTGGAAAACAAGCTGGGAGTACTGGACAGCTGTTTCGTCCTAGTTTGGGACTCTTCACCATTGACCTACGACCAGACCAATGGTCTACTAGGTCGCCTTGTAACCAGAAGTTCCTGGGTTCGAACTGATGGGCGCGTACTGATAAGGAGTCCCAAACTAGGACAAAACAGCTGTCAAGAACTTCCAGATTTTCCAACGGTTCTCTAACCGATGTCAGCTCATGATAAAAACCCACCATGCAATCAAAAAAAATCCCTACAAAAAGCAATACTTGAAAATTTTTAACAATAATCTTCATTTTTTTAAAATATATATTTTCACACTTACCTGAAATATATTCGTTAAATCACGTAAATTAAATAAATAATGAAAACGAATAGCTGTTGGCAAGAATACAGCTGATATTTTATCATGTGCAATCATACAGGCTTCAACTAGACTATCAACTGCACGTATTACTGCGGATGGAAAACTATTCCGTATATAATGTTGCTTTAATATCGTTGAATAGATTGTTTTCACAGCATTCTCATCAGGAAAACTTAGAGCAAATACTGAAAAATGACGCTGCAGTCGTGATGTGATTGTAAAACTACCAGCTGTTGGATTCATAGCAGCTACATATTGAGTTTTACTCACTTTTTTTAGGGTTAACTTTTGTCTATCATAAAAATGTTTATGATCTATATGTTGACGAATAAGTGTATGTGGTTGAACTGTGAAATATTGATCAACCTAAAGGTATATGAACACAAAAAGTATTTTTTTAAGAAAAAAAAGTGTGGTTGCTACTGTCTCACCTTCACAAAAATAATAAAAAAGGATTTTTCAAAAGAATGTATACTGAACAAAGAGTACTCTTTTCGATAACTTCATTATCATCATCATCATCAAGAAATACATAGCGAAGAAAGCGGAAAAGGACTACTCACTACCTGTAAACAAAAAGCAACTTTATATGCGACTACAATTCATGGGCGATATACAAGTTGGCAGAAGAAGCATCAAAGATAGTACTTCAAGTGAACATGGATAAAACAGAGGTGATGAAGATTCCTGGCCAACACCAACAGCAACAACGACAACAGACAACAATCAGCCAGCATAAATGGGAGGAACCTGAAAGAAACAACCTTCTTTACCTACGTACCTACCTGGGAAGCATCGTTTCAACTACACACGGACACAACTCACGAGGATATCAAAACAAGAATCGGAGAAGCAAGACAAGCTTTCACTACCCTTAAGTCTGTGTGGAGGAGGTCAACAGCACTCAGAATCAAAAATAAGATCCGGATTTTCAACTCCAATGTGAAGTCAGTCAGTGCTACTCACTATACGGATCAGAGACTTGGCGGGTCATAAATAGCATCTCAAACAAACTTCAAACCTTCATTAACAGTTCTCTTCGCTCAATACTACTCAAGATCAGATGGCTGGCCAGAAAAGATCAACAACAGGGATCTCTGGCAATGAGCGAACCAACCATGAACCGATTGTGAAACATATATGCAGGAAGAGAAGGAGATGGATTGGCCATAGTCTGAGGAAACGATCAAGTGACATCACTAGACAAGCCATTGCTCGAGTGGAACCCGAAAGGGAAGCGGCCAGTTGCTTGTCGGTGTGAGGGTGACTTGGAGGAGGTGATGTGAAGAGGAGATGAAAGCATGTGGGCAGACTTGGAGCGGGGTGAAAACGTTGGCAGAGAACCGAACGCAATGGAGACTCGCGGCTGAAGCCCTATGTTCCTCTAGGAATTAAGGGATATGATAATTATACCAAGTGAGATAATTACGAGGAAATTAAGAAAACCAGTTCAAAGAACTTTTAATGCTGGAGAACTACACGTCTTATTCTCTACACGATCGATGGTGCTACCTCGACTGAAAGAGGAAGTACCTAGACTAGCTAGTGACTTCAAATTGTATCCACCAATTCAACTGCTCCTGTGCTGGGGTGAGTTATATTGGTCGTTAATCCAAGTACTTGATTTTTCGTGCTCGGTCCAGAACATCACCCACTATGGCTAAGTAAAGGTGTAGTGAAAACCATTAACAGTTCAATATTGGACCATCTAGTGCAAATCGACCACACAACCAGCCAGCGTGGAATAATCCATCTCTATCATTATCTAACGGGTACCTAATAAATTGCCAAAATCATCATCGAAGCATTGCATGCTCTAAACAGCAGAGGTCATTGCAATTCGCCTCAAACAACCAGTGCTCTGTGTTCGAAAGAAGCAAGTCCAGCCCCTACTACAGCCTTGGCTTTCAGTAGAGACTATAAATTCATGAATTTTCTGACATTCAGCTTCTTTTATGTTGATGCTATTGAGCTGTAATCTACTGATATTATTGATTCGACGTTATTTAAACAGCAGCATTAATGTTGTTTATAACGCTAATTCATTCATTCACTATAATGGATGGATATATAACTGTAGAGCCTGATAATGAAGGCGTTATCGAAAAGAGTATTTTTGTTCAGTATTCATTCTTTTGAAAATTTTAATGGGCATTTTTAATCAGTTAAAAAAGGATTTCAAGTTGAATGACAAGCTGACATTGATTAGAGGATTACTAGAAACCAAGGAGAATTTGCCAGCTGATATAAGATGGTTGGAGACAATCAACAGGAAGCCTCGACCAACCTAGGTTTCGTACTAGATGACACTCACCAACCATCAAGGCGTATCGACAACCATCTTGAAGGAACTCATGTCCCTGCATCTAAGATTCAAACCGGCATCACCCAGTGCTGCAGTCAGGAAGCCTGAATAACTCAGTGGTAACGTTCCTGACCGAAGCACTGGCTGATGCGGGCTCGAATCTCAGACTGAGAGACATGAGTTCCTTCAAGATACGCCTTGCTGACCAGTGAGTGGCATCTAGCACAAAACCTAGGTCAGTCGAGGCTTCCTGCCAATTGCCTCCATCCATCTAATACCAACAAATCACACAGTGCACCTAGCATGGTGGCTACATTACAGACTTGACCAAAAACAGGACTAGACATTACACACTACACTAGTTACTGCTTAGTGTCCAATCAAAAATACTCGGCAGCTGCTTCACCTATGTTGTGGACTCTTCAACAGCACTACCCATTCAAGACCTTTAGTTTAGGAGACGACCATCTTGACTATTTAGTTACTAGGACAGAATCCAATGACCCATCAGTTAACGTCATCAGAAAATATTTGTTCTCACACCTAAATGATTAACTGATGGACTGCTGAAGAGTCTCAATGTAGATTAGGACAATTGTTCAGTACTCCTTAATTTTCAACGGCTTACTAACTGATATTGTGGTGAGAGCTGGATGCTAGCCAAATTGGTAGACAATAATTTGCGTCAAAGTTTACGTCCCCAATATTGGTCGTGAAAAAATTAAGAACAAAGACAGATTCAACAACCAATCATCACAGCAGACTTTGAGTAGGCGGGTACAATTTGCAGATCAATAATCTGAACTTCAATAAATCTCCACAAAGAGATCAGAGATTAACGTTCAGCGAGAAACCACCAATCAGAAGACTGTGTTTGTTTGCTTACAATAATCCCAAATAATGTACATGAAAATCTATAAATATCTGTTGATTTCCTTAATAAATGATCTGTTGCCTGGCCCTTGTCTTCTGGTGTTACAATGTGAGTTTATGATCTAGTATGGAACAAATCAAATTCCCGAAAATAGCACTTGAAAATAAAAATGATTACATATGGGTATTCATTACACCCCTCTTTACGTTCTGTACAATACAACGCAAGACTAGTGTATGTACCCCATATATACAGCTATATGATAGTACCACATATCAAACGATCCACAATGGAAAATTCAGTAAATCCTTTGAAGTGAAAACAGGAGTAAGACACGGCTGTCAGACTACTATCACTCATGATATTCCTACCTGTGGTCGACTGAATTATCCGGGACACTGTATGCTGGGGAGCGAAAATACAAGAATACGCTGGATCGATAAGAAGACTATAGAAGATCTGAACTTCGAAGCCGATAATTTCTGTCTGATGTCACATAAATCCAAAGACTTACCAGAGAAAATCAATAAACTGGCAGTAGAAACAGCCAGCTAAAACAAAGACTTCCAATTGGAAGTGGAGGAGACAGAGGTGATGAAGACAACCAACCACCAACAACAAGAAGCAATAATCCTAGTCTCCGGGGGAAAATTTTCTAAGAGGTCATATCCTTCGCTTATCCGGCTACGAAGCATCATTTCAACTACAGGCAACAGAGAGGATAAGAATATCGAAACCATTCAGGATCAGAAAGTTAGTGCACACCTTTATCATTGTGAAATCAGTTTGGAAATCTTTTGCACTCCTCTAGAGCATAAACAACAAAATCCGGATTTCCAACACTGGTGTTAAGTCATTCAGTCTTTCTATATGGGTTAGAGATCATACTTAAATGATTAGCAAGAGATGTCTGTCTTCGTATACGGTAAGTGAATCGCAGATATGCTTTCCCAGCAAAATAAATCCACATTTATTATTATCATATCCCTTAATTCCTAGAGGAACATAGGGCTTCAGCCGCGAGTCTCCATTGCGTTCGGTTCTCTGCCAACGTTTTCACCCCGTTTCAAGTCTGCCCACATGCTTTCGTCTCCTCTTCACATCACCTCCTCCAAGTCACCCTCACACCGACAAGCAACTGGCCGCTTCCCTTTCAGGTTCCACTCGAGCAATGGCTTGTCTAGTGATGTCCTTGACGGTTTCCTCAGACTATGGCCAATCCATCTCCTTCTCTTCCTGCATATATGTTTCACAATCGGTTCCTGGTTGGTTCGCTCATTGCCAGAGATCCCTGTTGTTGATCTTTTCTGGCCAGCCATCTGATCTTGAGTAGTATTGAGCAAAGAGAACTGTTAATGAAGGTTTGAAGTTTGTTTGAGATGCTATTTATGACCCGCCAAGTCTCTGATCCGCATAGTGAGTAGCACTGACTGACTTCACATTGGAGTTGAAAATCCGGATCTTATTTTTGATTCTGAGTGCTGTTGACCTCCTCCACACAGACTTAAGGGTAGTGAAAGCTTGTCTTGCTTCTCCGATTCTTGTTTTGATATCCTCGTGAGTTGTGTCCGTCTGTAGTTGAAACGATGCTTCCCAGGTAGGTACGTAGGTAAAGAAGGTTGTTTCTTTCAGGTTCCTCCCATTTATGCTGGCTGATTGTTGTCTGTTGTCGTTGTTGCTGCTGTTGGTGTTGGCCAGGAATCTTCATCACCTCTGTTTTATCCATGTTCACTTGAAGTACTATCTTTGATGCTTCTTCTACCACCTTGTTGTTTTTCACTTGAATATCTTCCAATTTGTGGGAAATCAGACATATATTATAGGCGAAGTACAGATCCTCCAGGTTTTTGTGTGGGTCCAATTTACGCCTGCCTTCTCGTTGCCGTCGCTGACCGTCGTACTATCCGGTTTACCGCAATCAGAAAAATCATTGGAAAAAGTAGTGGACACCCAGCTTGTCTCACTCCCGTCTTCACTTCTACGAAGGATTCTGTGAGTTTCTCGCTATGGATTACTTAGGCATGCAACACTGTCGTACAACTGTTGGATGAGGTGAATAATTGTTTGCAGCACCACGTAGTAACAAAGTAGCTGCCGAATCGCCTCTCGATCGACGCTGTCTGCTGAAGGCCTTTTCAAAGCCGATGAAGTTGAGTGAGGTAGACAGCTGACTACCATTCCAAGCTTTGTTCAGTGATGATCTGTAGTGTGGCGATTTGATCGATTCATGACTTGTTTCTCCTGAATCCAGCTTGTTCCAGTCGAAGCCACATCTATAAATGTTCAAATTAACTACTCACTAGATTAAATGTATATTTCAGAGACATTATTCCCGGCATAATATTAATAATAAGTAACCAATTAGACGATAAATGTAACGAGATAATTGTTTAAAAAATCCTTCCTCAACGATGTAATTACAATCTTTATATAATTATTTGGATGTTTTCTAAACAACTTTGTAATTTTTAATTATTGGTTTTGTAGGAATTTTGTTTAATTTGATGTAGGATTTCATCATGAATTGACGTCAGTTAGAGAACTATTGGAAAACCTGCATGGAGTACTGGACAGCCAACCATTTCGTTCTAGTCAGCTCATGATAAAATCGTCCATTCATCCAACTTTGTAATTTGTAATTTTGACGCATTCTCCTCCTAGACTGTAAATCAATGTTCTGACATTCGCACATCATCCCTATTATCTGTCTTTGTCCCTCCCGGTTAAATCTCTAATTTTCATTCTTCTCTCTCTCTCTCTGTGGTTGTGTCTTACCCTGATAATGCGTTGTTTTATGACGACATGATTTGATTTGAGTGAATGATTGAAGGTCATTCTGACCTTGGACTTTTGTGTGAGACAAGAATTGTTGGTGTGTGAGTCTTGTAGTGGACAGCATTTTCAGTCCCACCTTGTTAGGAATATTCTAGTAGATTTTGGAGTATTTCTTATAACTGAATTTTCGCTAACTAATTTTGTTCTACAGTAGTTGTTTCTGACTAGAAACTTATCTAGCCTCTTCAGCTGTCTGACGCACCGTTGATATAATTTTTGCTCTTTGATGTTGTTATTGTTGAAACGAACCACATAGACCTATCTGTTTTGGAGTATTTTGTGGCTGTGCGTCTCTCTGGGAAGTTTCCTACACCTATACAGTAGGACGCGTTTCAGCCACAACGCATTGATATTCAAGTGAATATCAATGAGATGCTCACTAGCGACTTGCCCTATTCAGGTAAGTAGTTACCTGGGGTTCTAGTGAGAAATCGTGACCAGTAGGGTGCAGAAGGTCGGGTGTGAGAAGAAATACTCGCCGGAGACATTGTCTAGGGGTCACGCTATGTCGTGAATTGGTAGAAGTTGGAATTCATGGACGGGCCATTGAATCGGGTCCCAGTGGCTTAGTGGTCTACGAGCTCGCCTTGTAAACAGAAAGTCCTACGCTTGAATCCCGGTGGGTGCGTACTGCTGAAGAGTCTTAAACTAGGACGAAACAGCTGTCCAGTATTCCCTGCAGGTTTTCCAGTGGTTCTCTAACCAATTTCAGCTCATGATGAAATCTCACAACGCATTGGTTTTCATCGTTACAGTACGCTTCATAACTTCAGTTAGTTTCAATGCTCGGATAGCACATTTTTAATATTTTAACAATAATATACCAACTTTATGCACCCTGACATATACTACTGATACTGATATCAGTAGTTGACAACCATTTAAGTCAACCTGACCAAAAGGATTTATACACCGAAACAGTCATTTCACTCGTTTGGAACTAAGCTTGGGACCAGTGATGTCCCCTTGGTGAATCAACTCGGAGAGCTGAATTATAGTAGAAGAACTAATGATATGTAGAATCAGATTTTTCATTAGCCTGTTTAAGCAGTTCCGTTCTGTTCGATGGTGACTAGCGGTGGGACCCAATAATGCCTGTTTCATTCTATTTGAATCTCATCAACTGGATACACATCCATCATTCCCGGGGAATAATTAATGGTTAATCCACTAAGTCTTAAACCCAACAGACATTATTTGAAATGCCAAACCGTTATCTACTAGTTCAGTTGGTTATGAGAACCAGTTCTTGTATAACTGTTTTCACTGGCTTTTATTGAAACTATTTTTCCGAAACATTCAGTGTCTGTTAACATATGACCTCCTAATAAAGATGTTTTGAGAATGCATTTAAAGCAATTAGTCCTTTTTATAAATTTGGATAGCGTTATTAGAAGACGGAGATTTTCTGAAAAACAATGTGATGTATTTGCGCCATGCATTTCGAACAATCTGATCACACATTTACTTGTCAAGTAGATATATATGAAAAAGTTAAATTAAACAAAGTAACCTAAAAGAGTTTTAAATGATTAACACAACATTTGGTAATCCAATTAAATAAGGATTACCAAGGTAGGTTAAGAGTAATAATAAACTGCTTATGCACATCCGGGGTGGGGGAGGCTTAAGTTTATGAATAGCTATAGCCTCAGCGTATTTCAGTAAGCGCCCCGTGACCGTTTTTATTGATGACCATAAAGGCTGAGTTAACACCAATCTTATGGTTCATCTCGATTAGATGTTTAGCTATAGACGAAGTTGGTAATCTGACTGACACCTGCATCTATTTTGGGATATGCTCTCCCACCCTCACGTGCAAAGCGCGATTACTCCTCCCTATGTATGTATGTCCACACACACACACGAAAATTGGTAAATTGTATGGGATGTGACATAATCACTTGTTCACTTTTGGGGTTTACAGTGAAGCATATTTTTAGCTTTTTCCACAATTAGTAGTAGGTTCCACCGATGATCGAATTCAACCTTTCTCGCGAAATCCTACTGTTTATTTCCCCGTTATATGGTAATTTAATGAAAACATTTTTCTTAGGTGCAGTATATTTTGTAGGTTAAGAGAATAATTGACTTCTACACCTGTTTAAAATTTTTAAAGGATATCCGTTTTCAACAAGAGTATCCATCAATTTTTCGTTTTCTTGGTCTATAACATCAGCCGTACAAATACGTTGATTCCTCTCGAATAGACATTTCACCAAGCCTCTCTTATACTGTAATGGACAGAAACTGTGAAAATTAAGGTACTGCCCAGTCCAAGTCGGCTTTCTGTAGATTGATCGCCTTATTGAACCGTCATCTCTTAGACTCAGAAGTACATCTAAAAATGCAAGCTGGTTGTGACATTTTTTTCTTCGCATGTAAGACTACTATGATTCTGTATAGAGTTAAGTCTGTCTAATAGATGACTCGCATCTTCATGATCGTCGCATATCAAAATGATATCATCTCTTATAGAGGGGGAATTTTGAAATTAAATCAAGAGACAATTTCTCAACATAAGACATGTAAACGTCTGCTAACAAAGGTCCTAATGGACTGCCAATAGCAACGCTATCCACTTGTCAAAAATGCATTTAGGTTAATATGATGGGTTCCTAATCGGATAAATCATACGGTCTAGATGTCACTGTTAGTCAGAATCAACTGCATAACATTGAGGGAACTAGATGACCGGATAACAAATAAAACGTATATAGTTGTTCTTAACTTCAATGAGATGTCTGTAGTCACATTCCTAGGCATCTAAGACAGTTTATCACAAAGATTGTTCCTTGAATTCCTGTCTACCAACATTCATGAGCTATACGTATCTTGTGACTACATTTCCAAGTATTTTGTTTTCTGTCTTCTTACAATCTACTGTGTGTAATTTACATTAACATTCAATACCCCTCAAAAAAGTACTGACACTGAGAAGAGCACTCACCTCTGGCATATTTAAATCATCAATGAAATAGAGGAGTCTATGCTGTCCTGGTGGACCATAATTCATACCAGCTTTTTTCTCTAAACTTTTATCCAACACTTCTTGTAACATTAAACTTGTTGTATAAAAATTGAATGGTATACTCTTCACAAGATATTCTTCAGATAAACTTGAAAATTTATCCTGTAGGATAACAGATTTCCCAGTTCCAGCTGAACCAACCAACATAACAGGATGTCCAGCTTCAATGAGTAGATCTAAGAAGAAACGTAATCGGACAACTTCCACTGTGGGAACTAAAGCAGCCTTTAGTAGAAAAAAAAACAAGCATATAACGTGTTTATTTAATTAATAAATTTTATCACAACTTGACATTAATTAAACAAATAATGGCCACCTTAAGAGACTTTAGCAGTAAAATGATCAAATCAAACCTCAAACAATTAGCTACCACACAGATTATCTATCGTCTTAGCCTTATTACAACTGAGCTTTGTGTGCTTTTAACTATTTATGCGTCATTCAAGTATACCTCGTTCCATAAGCTATTTGACCACCTTATATTGTTGTTTCTTATAAACTTGAGTACCACTCAACAACAGGTTTGTGTAAACATCTGTTCCCGCAAATTTAGAGTTCTCTTTTTGAAGTACTGGAAATATCAATTTCCTCTAGATTAACTCCAGCCAACTATCAATCATTAACAGTTTAGTCTGGGTATTATGTTGTTATTGCAATCCTCCCTTTTTTTAAAAGGTCCCTACTGTAGATCAACCACTCTAGAAATCCTTAATAACAGTGATAAGGCACCACTGACTAAAATAACTAACGTTCTAGGAATAATATTATTATTCCCTCGGGTTCCGAGTGGAACATACGGCTTCAATAACAAATCTCCACTTTGTTCTATTCTCTGCTGTTCTCTTTAGTTTATCTCATAATTGCATGGAGGATTTCATCGTCAGCTGACATCAGTTAGAGAACCACTGGAAAACCAATTGGGAGTACTGGGCAGCTGAAATCCTCTATGCAATTTTATAAAAATCCCTACAAAACCAATACTTAAAAACTAATCTGATGCTCACTAGCAAGTGGCTCTATTCAGGCAGTTAACTTGGGGTTCTAGTGGGAAGCTGTGACCATAGGGTACAGCAGGTCGAAGATGAGGCAGTACCTCATTGAAGAAGACAGCGAAATGGTCGCGCTATGTCCTGAATCTGCAGAAGTTAGAATTCAAGATTCATTGGATCAGGCCCCAGTAGCTCAATGGTTTATGAGCTCGCCCTGTAACCAAAAGGTCCTGGCCTCCAATCTCGGTGGGTACGTACTGATGAAGAGTCCCAAACTAGGACGAAACAGCTGCCCAGTACTCCCAGTTGGTTTTCTAGTGGTTCTCTAACTGATGTCAGCTCATGATGAAATCTTCCATGCAATCAAAAAATCCATATAAAGCCAATACTTGAAAATTATCCCATAATTATCCATAATCTCTCACCTTCTCCTCCATGTCACCCTTGCTCGCACCGACCACCCACTCGTGGCTTTCTATTGGCATTCCCCTCAAGCGAAGGTCTGTATTGGGCATGATGTCACTCGATGGCCTCCTCAACGTATGCCCCATCAATCCGTCTCCATTTTCTCCTACATATTTGTTCAGTAGTCGTCTCTTCGTTGGTTTGTTGACAGAGCTTTTTTTGTCGCTAATCCTTTCTGGCCATTTGATCTTCAGCATGGAGACACCGAAGGCGGTTGTTAGTAAAAGTCTGAACTGGTCAGTTCAAAATGCTTTTCGTGACGTGTAGTGCAAGTTTCTGATCCGTAACAAAGAAGTAAATGACTTGGTATTCCTGTTGAAAATCCGATTTTAGTTTTTCTTGCTGAGTGCAGAAGAGCGATGAAGGTGCTTGTCTTGCCTTTGTGATTCCAGTTTTAACATCGGTATGAAACCTAGGTCCAAAGCTCCCTGTCGATTGCCTTCAACTATCTAATATCGATAATTCAGAGTCCATTGTAATGTTGGGGAGTCTAGAATGACGGTGACATTGCAAACTTGACTGACTATACAATTCAGTCTGCACCAAACACAGGACTAGAGACATTACACTTGCTGCCAACTAGTATCCAGTATTATGGAGATCATTGATCAGCATAAATAGCTCAGCAGCAACGTCTTTGATTGCAGTACTCACTGGGTGATACGGGTTCAAATCTGCGAAGGCACACGAGTTCCTTCGAGGTTGCAGATACGCAATGCTGATTAGTGAGTGTCAGCAAGCACCCTTCCTAGGTCCAAAGCTTCCTGCCGATCACCTCTAATCATTTAATATAAATGTTTTGATTGCCTAGAAACCTCGTTTATCCTACTGCCCTCAGTTAAAATTACACATTCTATGAGCTATTTCATAAATCAAATAACCTACTGTACTTGGTTACTGGATTTCATCATGAGCTGACGTTAGTTAGAGAACCATTGGAAAACCTGCAGGCAGTACTGGACAGCTGTTCCCTCCGTCCTAGTTTGGGACTCTTCAACAGTACGCACGCGCCACAACTGGGTTCAAACCCAGGACCTTCTGGTTACAAGGCGAGTTAGCTCGTAGACCATTAAGCCACTGGGACACAATTCAATGGCCCATGAATTCTAACTTCTGCCAATTCACGAATACTTGATTACCAATGAGATGCTCACTAGTGACTGGTCCTATTCAGGTAGGTAGTTACCTGGGGTTCCAGTGGGAAGTCGTGACCAGTAGGGTGCAGAAGGTCAGGTGTGAGGACAAATACTCGCCACGGATGACAGTGGCTAGGGGTTGCGCTATATCGTGAATTGGTAGAAGTTAGAATTCATGGACTGGCCATTGGATCAGGTCCCAGTGGTTTAATGATCTACGAGATCCCCTGCCTTGTAACTAGGAGGTCCTTGGTTCGAATCCCGGTGGGTGCGTACTAATGAAGAGTCTTAAACTAGGACGAAACAGTTGTCCAGTACTCCTAGCTGGTTTTCCAATGGCTCTCTAACCAATCTCAGCTCATGATGAAATCCTGTAACCAATCAACCAAATCCCTACAAACCAATACTTGAATAACCTACTATATTTCTTGATATTTAACTATGATTACAATCACAAATATTTTCCCTTGCAATTCACTTTATTATTTTGAATTTAATTCACCAGAAATCTCATGTGAATATCCTTGTTCAAGTTAACAACATCTGGATGGGCAAACAACTCCGTCAAGCCTGAGAATAAACACCTTTCTGACACTTACTTGTAATGGTATATCAGGATCTAGTTCACATTTTGTTAAACGTGTTGACCAACTTTCAAATTTTCGTGTTGTTAAACTCCAAAAAAAGTCGAATATAGTACCACCGGATGGAAATTTCACTTGTTTAAATTCATTCAGCCACCATTTTGAAAATTCAACACGATAATCACACAATTGATCTTTAAATAAACATCCACCAAATGACCAAACACAACAGAAGACAAATAACATTTCATAATTTTCTTTAGTAAATTCACGTGTATCTTTTGATTTACTTTGTATGTCCAATATACATTCAAGTAGATAGCATAACATTTGAATATGAGCTAAATCAGGTATCGGTGTAATACGTTTCATTCGATAACGAACAATTTCAAGGCATGGTGAAACATACTTGTCAAAACAGATTGACAGTGCAGGTCTTTCACTAATCGATAGAGTTTTCTTCATTTTCACTCGATCATCTAACCAACTGTGTACAAATCTGTAAGAAAGAAGTAACACGTGGGGGGGGAAGAGAGGAGAAAGAACAAATGTCAAAGAGGATACATGTTACCTTCGTTAAATTTCAGTTGATATGAGTCGGCGGTTCGGTGGTAGAATGGTGGCCAACCAGGCACGTGGTCTGGGGTGCAATTCCTGGAGGGCGCCCATCTTTAACCCCCCACCCTCTAGCCAGTTGTCATCCAGACAAAGAGGGGGAGTTGGGTGTGAGGCTAGCAATCCCATACCGTAAGAAAAAACACTACTTCTAAAGCTTCAGAGCTCAAGCTTGAAAGGACCTATGTTCCACTTGGAACGTACAGGAATGCAAAAATAACTTTGATGGTCAATCCATCATAATAAGGGTTTCTTTTTGTATTTCCCATTCAATGAGTGAAAAACAAAACGATTTTGGTTTTTATTCATATTATATACTCAAATGCCCAGTTTTTTTCAAACTGTTGAAAGTAAACTTGGTTTGGACATACACAATGTTGTGGTGAGAGTAGGCTGCTAGCCAACCGGTAGACATCAATCTGCGTCAATTTCTAGGTTCCTAATATTGGCCGTGAGAAAATATGAACAAGGCTGATTCAACAACCAATCACAGCAGACTTAAACGTGGGCAAATACGATTCGCAGATAGATGGCTCCACTTTCCGAGAAACTCGAAAACAACCAATCAGAAGACTGCGTTTGTCTACTTAAATATACTATAATAATGTACATGAAATACATATAAATACGTGCTGATTTCCGTAATAAAATGATCTGTTGCCGGCCCTTGTCTTCTGTTGTTACAATGTAACACTTAATATGATGTTACTGAGATCATTCAGAAAAATTTCAAAAATCACAAAGAACGTCTCATATCATCAAAAGCATTTCACATCAAATGAAATCTAAATTATCTGAATAGGAATGATGGAGTGAAATAGAAACAACATCCCCTCCCCTCGTGAAATGACGAAATCAACACGAATGTGATAAGCAATTTCATTATGTAAACACACGCTGCTTTTATAATTTGACACAATTTTCAAATCCAACAATCTCGACTTGATTTTGCTGTATTCAACAATCGACCAATTTGACAATGCAAAAATGACCCCATGCTGAGGAACGATGATTAAGTTTAAAACAATTAGTTCCCTTTCTGAATTTAGGTAAAGCAATAAGAAAACGTTATTTGTCTGAATCGTGTAATGTATTTGCACAACACATTTCAAACAATCTGATCACACATGGACTTGTCATAGGAACTGATGTCAGCTCATGATTAAATCCTCCATGCAATCAAACAAAATCCCTACAAAAACCACTACTTGAAAATAGGAATATATATCAAATTAATAAAGAGTTAAGAGGTGAGAAAATAGACGAGTTAGGGCAAGTTGAAAGGACATATTCAAAGTCAAAATAACAATGAAGACCAATAAACCAAATAGCAGAGGTAATAGTACATCTGCTATGGTATCAAAACAAAATTTACCAAGGAAGGTTTAATGTGATGACGAATTGTTTTTGATTACATAAAGGTGGCTTGAACTTTCTAATTGCTAGCTAGGGCTTCCACAAACTTTAGGATACGCCCCAAACACGTTTTTTAGATAGGTTTAAAAGATCTGTTAACATCGATTTTATGTCCTGTCTCTAGAATATGTTTCGCAGTAGAGGAGCCAGGTCTCCTGTTCTCACCATTAATGGGTTCTGAAGATTCCATTTATTTCTGGACCCATTTAGAAATATGCTCTGAAGCCCTTACTTGCAGAGATCGATGAGTCCTCCCTATATATGTGTGTCCACACGTACATTCAAACTGGTAAATACAGTGGGATGTGACGTCGATTTTTGCATGTTCGAAGGGCTTAGACAGATGTATTGGCTTCACATTCTCAATTATTATGATATTAGCTGCATAAAAAGTCTTTTTAACAGCAGCGTTCAGTCTTTGTCTAGTTATCAAGCTGCTTTGATGCCCCATATAGGGTAGCTTGATGTACACGTCTTTCTTAGGGGCGAGTTGGAGAGTGGGTCTTAGTGTTCTGACTACTTTATATCTTCTGATGAACTTGTCTGGATAATTGTTATCAACCAGAGTTTGAGTCAACTTTCTTTCTTCTTCATCAAGTGTGTCTTCAGTGCATATTCGTTGGATTCTACTGAAGAGGCACCTTACTAAGCCTCTTTTGTACCGAATAGGGCAGAAACTGTGGTAATTAAGATACTGTCCTGTCCAGGTAGGTTTTCTATAAATAGATCTTTTTTATTGACCCATCAAGCCGTCGACTAAGCAATATGTCTAGGAAAGATAAACAATTATCTTCTTCTTCTACAGATGTAAGTGATATGCTATTCTGAACTTCATTCATTCGATTTAAAATTGAGGTGGCAGAACAAGACTTATCGCTGATGATTACAATATCATCTACCTACCTTCTATAAAGTGGCACATTTTCGATTAAATCCTCCGATCAATTCTCAATATACGACATATAAATATCTGCTAAAAGGGGCCTAACGGACTTCACATAGCATATATAAGCTGATTGGATTTTATAAATTCTGGTTTATTAATACTACTTTGATAAAGCTATTAGCAGCAATATTAAATAACGAAACGTCAGTGAAAACAACCATATCGTTTTGTTTTTCACTCATTCACTGGTAAATACAAGGAAAACCTTTACTATAATGAACATCATGTACTCGAATGCCCAAATTTTTTCAAACTGTTAAAAGTGAACTTAATTTGGACACATAAAATTCGATGGTCTATCTTTTAAAGTCCCATTTTGGGGTAAATTTTATTTTCATAAAATCATACAATGCTATGACAGTATTATTTACTGATGACGGCGTTTCAAGCACAATTTATCACCGCTCATAATCGTGTCAAGGCGATCGCATAACTTTCTTGCTTCATTTATATACATGAGTTTTATGTTTATACCAATCTTTTAAAGTGTTCAGTTACAGAATGCTTAATAGATGTAGACGAATATTAGGCAGATAAAGTGAGCGAAATTAAGCCAAAAATCTGGGTACGTATTGTTGATTACACATTCGTATTAATTAAAAGAAATGATCTAAAGCACACGCACAAATTAATCAACGTGTCTGAAGACACGCCAAGCATGCACATGGTCCGAAGTTCGAACCCTGGCAACAGATGCACTCCTTTACCTCGCTAAATCAGAAAGGTTGGGCATGCGGCTAGATACCTTTCGGACAAAAGTTCGACACAAATTAAGCCAGTATAGGATGCCAATGTAAAGTCAATCACCAAAGAAGTGGAGCAGAGGAAACACTGAGCTGAACACTTCAAAAGACTTCTAAATCGACCGCCACCTACAACGCGCCCAACAATACCAACAACGGAAGCAGAACTACCAGTGGACATCAACATCCTGACGAGAACAAAAATCCTGAAGGTAATCACGATGTTAAAAGCTGGAAAAGCAGCGGGAACAGATGGAATCTCAGCAAAAGCATTGAAAACGGACCCAGAAACAACAGCGGACTTGATGACACCCCTACTGGAGAAGGTGTGGAAGGGGGGCAAGGTAAGTGCGGATTGGAAGAAAGGATACTTATTCAAAGTGGCAAAGAAAGGAGACTTAAGGCAATACAAGAACTGGCGCGGAATTATCCTCCTGTCCATCCTAATCAAAATCCTGAGCCGCATCATCCTGGAGAGAATCAAACAAGCCCTCGATGAAAACTTCGGCCAGAACAGGCTGGATTCATGGGAACAAGTCATGTATTGATCAAATCGCCACACTACGTATCACAATTGAACAGAGCTTGGAATCGAGTGGAACTCGAAAGGGAAGCGGCGAGTCTGTTGTCATTGCAAGGGTGACTTGGGAGAGGTCATGTGGAGAGGAGATGAAAGCATGTGGGCAAACTTGGAGCTAGGTGAAAACTCTAGCAGAGAACCGAACGCAATAGGGACGCGTGGCTGAAGCCATATGTCCCTCTAGGAATCAAAGGAAATAATAATAAGTTTAAATAATGTGTATGGTAGTTAGTTTGAAAATTGCACCAAAAAATGATGATGACAATAATAATAAACTTACGGTGTCCAGCCTAAATCTCCTGGATTAATGTATAGGATACCAGCACGTGATACAGTCGCTGGTGTAGCTGTCTTCAAATGACTAATTTCAAATAGTAATCTCATACTATCCGTTAACGGGATACGCTCATTACTGGCTAATGTTAACACCTTATTATCATCCATAACAGTATTCAATGATTCAATCCACATTGGATCAATATCTCCGTCAAGTACAATCCATTTTGGATCTTTCCCTGTCATATTGGCTAAATCTCTCATTATAACAGAAAATAAACCTGTTATGGTAGAATAAATGTAGAAAAAGAACAAACAAAAGTATATGCCGATCAAAAACAGTAGAATTTAAAATACTAACTAGATTTGATTGGGCAATTGACAGACTTCTACAATCTGTCAGACAGACTTTAACAACACGTATGTCGATGACATGTTCCTCATTTGTGACTGTTTCAATGAAACATCTCAAATATTAAGCGTCCTGAATAGTGTTCAACCTAATATAAAGTTTTACACTAGAGTGTTAATGTAACGACGAATTTCATTTTTCCCGACCTTGATAACTAACATGATACAGATGGTAAAATCTTGAGGTATATCAACAGAAAAGTGATCTGGGTGTTGGTGGAGGGTGGTTGATTTATCTGAACTTCAAAGTCTTCTGCCGTATAAACTACAAAAAAGGATTGATAAGAACATTGTTTGATCGTGTAAGAAATCTTTGCTTAGAAGAAACAGTTGAGGAAGAACTTTCCATTGTGGAAAAACGCCTGGATGATAGTGGCTACCCACAGAAATTCGTCGAAAAAAAATTGAAAGTGCAGCGATGACAAAATGAATGATAGCACAGTACAGCAGAGTCCTCCTTTATGGCTGTGAGACCTGGCCATGGAGAATAGAGGACATGAAAAGATTAGCTGTATTTCATCATAGGTGCTTGCGCTCTGTCTCCCGTGTTAAGTGGTATAATAAGATGAGCAATATTGAGGTTAGGCGTGAAGTTCTAGGAAAGGAGGGGAAATCAATCGACGAGGCTGTGAAGTTACATCGACTGAGATGGTTAGGACATGTGTTAGGTATGCTAGCCTAGTTATCGCCTTCCTCGAAAATGGGCAATGTTAGCTGTTATAGGGTCAGGCTGGAAAAGAGCTAGCGGCGGCCAAACAAAAACATGGAACCAGTCAATGAAATCCACAACAGTTAGTTTAAGCCAGCCAGTCACGTAGGGAGATGTAGACTTCCTGATTGGGGTCCTCGGGAAGGTAAAAATCTATGACAGCTGGAGACAATTGGTGATATGGCTCAAAATCGTTCTCAATGGCTGGTGTAGATGCATCCACTCCTTGTGACCTACAATTTCCAATAAAACTCTATTGTTCTTTGTTATTACTATTCCTTTGTCTCACACCTCTGTTTACTGTCTCTAATATGCATTTCTTCTACTTTCTTCTCTTGCTTTGTGTACTACAAGGAGGGAGTGTGGCGACTTAAACTGGTGCACATATATGCAAAGTTCTATGTCGAAAACAGATAGACAGTACAGAAAGAGTCGGCATTTTGTCTACAGCTTCCCTTCAAAAGTGATGATACTTCTTGGGGAATAACATGAACACTGAATGCTGCTCTGTAAACAACATATATACACATACCAAACTTGTATGTGTTTATCAAACGACTAGTTGTTTAAGACAGTCAAAAGTGGACAGACTCCCACTTCATGTAACCGCCAACTTTCTCTACCAATTTACATGTAAACGTTCTGCAGCGCATACATTGAAAGAACATAGGGAAGGGTTATTGTCCACATATGTGAACACATACCAAAGAACCTGAGACTAATATCCTTGTAACAATAGAAGGCAAGACACGGAAGTCAAAGTATATTTTTCATTATTCAAACCTCTGTTTATGTACCTACAGTTTATATTTGTTAATCAATCACTGAGCGTGTGATTTTGGTTTACATCAAACAACATGAAACAGAATGTCCAGATATACATAGTATTCTGTTGCGAATGCAGTATTTTCAAGTATTGGTTTTGTAGGGATTTTGTTTGATTGCATGGAGGATTTAATCATGAGCTGACATCAGTTAGAGAACCAATGGAAAACCTGGGAGTACTGGACAGCTGTTTCGTCCTAGTTTGGGACTCTTCAGCAGTACGCACCCACCGTTTCTGGTTACAAGGCGAGCTCGTAGACCATTGAACCACTGGGACCAGAAGGTCCTGGGTTCGAATCCCGGTGGGTGCGTACTGATGAAGAGTCTCAAACTAGGACGAAATAGCTGTCCAGTACTCCCAGGTTTTCCAGTGGTTCTCTAATTGATGTCAGCTCATGATTAAATCCTCCATGCAATGCAGTATTTAACTGTGGGAATACATGAGAATAATATTCTGTGATAACAGCTTGTCTGTATAACACCAATACAAACTTACAGGCATGAAACATTGTGATCACGAATCATCTATCTATTGAACACTGGCCAAGTTGTGGACAATCTGATGGTGTCCAAAATAATTAACAGACAAAAAGAACCTAGCTTGCTAACTTTTGCTGAGGCAGTCACCAATTGAAAAGAAACCTGTATACTCAGAAAGAAAGAGAGAGAGTGTGTGGTGAATATCACACTACGTCATCTTCTCTCCTGTTTAGAAACTTCCATTCCCTCATCCAATCTTCATTTACCCTACCCCCTCCCTTTTCTGCCCGTTTTATAAAGACATATTTTCTGTGATTACGTAACCTGTTGTTTGTTATACTTTTCCTAAGTAAACCTTGCTTCTACCTACAAAAGTCTGTTGAACTCTCTTCTTTTGTTTCCAAGCGTAGTCATCTAATCTTTCTATACACAATCAGTCCTTTTCGCTTTTAATTATTTAACAACTTACATCATTTTGGACTTGCGTTACTCTTAGTTCCTACCAATTACTCTTTGTCATCTTGGAAGAAGTATGTTCAAGTCTTTGATGTAATTTATATTTCAGGATTTCATCGTGAGGTAACATTGGTTAGAGAAGCATTGAAAAACCATCAGGGAGTACTGCACAGCTGTTTCGTTCCAGTCCTGGGGACTCTTCATCAGTACGCACCCAACATATGGGTTCGGCCACAGGGTCTTCCGGTCACGAGACGAACTCGTAAACCATTCAGGCACTGAGACCCAATCTAATTAGCAAACTTCTACTAATTCACGATATAGCGCTACCAGTAGCCATTGTTACCTGTGGCGAGTATTTGTAGTCACAGCCGACCTGCTGTACCTTGCTGTCCACGACTTCCCACTATAACTCAGGTAACTACGTACCGAAAAGTCTCTGGTTAGAATCCCACTGGAACGGGTCGGGGTACTGATGAGGAGCCCCAAACTAGGACGAAATAGTCGTCCAACGCCCCAAAGTTTTTCAAAGATTCTCTAACCAATGTCAGCTCATGATGAGATCCTGTAATCAATCAAATCCTGGCAAAAACCAACACTTACCATCTTTCCATTCACGTGTCGCTGGATTGATAACACCGAATAACTCATCATTTGTTACTGCTTTTGGGTCTAAATCAATAGCGACAGGTTTCTGTTTTTGCAGTTTAAATGTATGCTTAAGTGTTTTCCATACTTGTGATTTACCCGTTCCAGCATTGCCAACAATAAATACAGAATGTCTAACTTCAAAAAGTTCTTGTAATTGAACAACCTAAACAGTTTGTGTGTGTGTGTGGAAAAAATGCAAGGGTAAAGGCAAAGAAGAATGTGAGGATGATATGCGGAAAGGTAAATAGACATTCTAGATCAGGCTGGCTTCTTAACCTGAAGATCATAGGTCATATCCATGGTGGCGTCATAGATCTCACATTAAGACGAACCACTTGTCCAGTACACACTGGTTTTCATTGGTTCTCTAAATGACCTTGATTTGTGATCGAGCTTAAAATCAATCAAGTCCTTGCAAATTGACACTTGATAATATCGAAAAATAATAACAGTATGCTTGTCAATGTAGTTGAAGAATGAACGATCAATTCATGGTTGTTTGCTCAAACCCAACTCCTCCATATTTTTCGCGGGATTCATCAATCCAGCAGTCATCGTCTCATCGTTCGCCGTTCAGTGGAAGACAGAAAACTATCAGAAGTATTATCTTGACTTATTGTTATAACATTTATTCTTAGACCTTGTGTATAACAACCTTATTGTTGGTTACATATTGGTGTAAGAATGAAGGATTCTCGAGTCGCTAATCTGTGTTCTGGTTTTTCGCGTTGGTTAATACAAATTGTTTCTGAAAGTCTTCCAGGGAAAGTGTGCGGTCCAGCGTAGTAACAGCTGGACATTGACATTTTCTGAGAGTTGGCTGACAATGCTATTTGCATAATATGCATAGAGTTTGGGACAGATGGCTTAAGCAGTCAATTCTCAATTGATGGGTATTGGGTGTAACTCCTGCTTCACCTGTGGCAGTCTAAGTAACTATGAAATATCACCTGTTTTTAGACAGTAAGCGCGGTTCATAGCCTGGTTGGAGAAAATTGACTTCTGATTAATTAACTAATTATAGAATGCTGGTCAACCACACAGTTGATCCGGGTTCGATTCCTGACTGACACACTCTTAATGCTTGCTCAGTTAGTAATAAGCCTCATTAAGACGTAGGGATAACAAACTCACTTATGAAATAAATAGCGTAACCACTACTGAAAATCTAGTGCTCCATCTTGAAGCTTTATGTTTCACTCGGAAATATGAAGGAATGTAAAAGGCAAATAAGTGTGATGTGTACTACTTATAATAATGAAAATAAGTAATAAATACTGTGATAGTATCTGACAAATAAATGAGATTCAATTCAGGACTGTAAAGGCGGGTGCTACAATAGACATATTAGGAACCAAAAGGGTGCGAAAGACAAAAGACAAAAGAGGAAGTATAATCAATGTGTCTGGAATACAGAATGCGCGTATTGTTTGCACGAAGTATGCACGAAGTTTTGTGTTTTTCAAAGTGTATTTACAGAAATGTAACATTATCCCCCTAAGTTCTGACTGAAACATAGGGCTTTAGTAGCACATTCCCATTCTATCCTATTCTTTTCAAACCTCTTTAGCTAATCCCCTGATTAGTATACAATTGGTGGATGGTGGCTAGCAGTGGAATCCATGATGCGCATTTCGTCCTATTTGGGACTTGCCACAGCTGGATGTACGTGCATTTCTCAGTGAGCGATGATGTTCCCACGAGGCTCGAACCCAGTGCCCATAGTCCAAACGCCAAAGCGTTATCCACTAGACCACTTGGGCCACGAGAGCCACCTCTTGTGCAACGGGTCATATTAATTATTGAATTGAATTTTTGATTTTCCCGTCGATTGATTGGACCGAAGTGTTCGATCTCAGGTTGACATGTCGGCTTCTTGTGCAGATGCTTCGACGATGTCTGGTGATTTGATTTGTATATAATTGGTGGATGGTGGCTAGCAGTGGAATCCAGGATGCGCATTTCGTCCTATTTGGGACTCGTCAGCTGGATGTACCTGCATTTCTCAGTGAGTGATGATGTTCCCACCGAGGCTCGAACCCAGTACCCATAGTTGGAGGCAAACGAAGAACGGCTATGTTCACCACCAGTGACACAGCTGATAATTCTTTGGCGATTAGAAAGATTGGTTGTTGGGTATGACCCTCAGTCGGGTGATGATCAACTACATCCAGTCGACGAGTCCCTCAGCAGGACGAAATGTGCTAACAATCATCAATCTAATAGTAAATGACATTCTTCAGGAGAAAACAATGGCATTGTAAAGCGAAGCTTTTACTTAAACTAACCTTCAAGATAAATGAATCCTCTGGTTGTAAGCCTAAATCTTCAGTAGCTGCTTTTACATTTGCTTCAAAATTTAAATCACGTTTACGCGATGCATCTAAATTTGGAAACAAGTCAGATATAAGACCTAAAAATACAGCCATATCTTCAGTGACTAATTTAGGTATGTTGAAATCTCGTAGAGCACGCATTAACACGGAATCTTCAGTGTGTTCAGGATTACCACGTTTCAATGCACCAGCTACAACCAACACTGATTTAATAGCTCTTAAACCCCAATCATAATGATCTTGTTTCGAAAGTAATTCTTTGCATAATTCATATAGTGTAATAAATTTACGCGCCAATATAGTTGCCTCTAGAAATCCTTGAGCTACAAGCATAATTTCACAAATCAATTCAAAATCTGGCACTACCATAGCACATGGTCTAAAGATGAAAATAAAATTGTAAGAATGAGGGACAATTTTTAAAATTAAAAACAATAGGCAAGCAAGTTAAATCATGAGCTGAAATCAGAGTTACAGAAACATCAAAAAACTAGAGTAGAGTGAAGAGCTGTTTCGTCATGATCTAGGACTCTTCAACAGTACTTCTAGAGACTGAAACCGAGTTGTGAGGCGAGCTCGCTAATCATTTAGACACCCAACGGGGTGGGAGAGGAGAATTTAGTGTCCCATGCATACTACTGAAGAGTTTCGGTCTTGGAAGGAACAGCTATTCAGTGCTTCCCAGGTTTTTAGTGGCTCTCAGACTGACATCAGGTGGTGGTATAACTTGAAACGACGAAAATGCCTGTAAACTAGATTGTGTCATCACACTAATCTCTCGACTAGACAGTTTAAACTTGCTAGGACTATGGTGAGTACTAATCACAGTTTCACTTTCTATATCCATGCGTAATTTACAATTTTCTGAATAAAATAGGAAACTGTTGTTATTGATTGGTCTTGTGAAGAGTCATCACATCAAAATACGCATTATAGGGATATAAGGATAAGTTATTGAGGAGACGTTGATTTATTTGTTGGTGAAATGAAGGTTAATTGAACCTTCTCATAATCCTCCGGTCATTCTGAAATAATACCACTTTATAAGTGGTTCCTCATGTCATTCTCTGAGTTGAATTGTTTTTTTTTAATTTTTATGGAATCTGTTGGTCATGGTCGCACTTGGCATCATCAAGCATCTTATTGAAAACCCTCTAATATTAGAAATTTAATAATTTTCAAAAGAATGCATACTGAACAAAGAGTACTCTTTTCGATAACCTGTTCTTCATCAAGCTCTACAATTATATATACATTATAGTGAATGAATGAATGAATTAGTGATATGAACAACATTAATGTTGTTTAAATAACATCGAATCAATAATATTGATCGATTACTGCTCAGAAAACCAGATGGAAGAATGAAATGAATGCTATCCTTCGACGTGACAGCATTATATACATCCATCGGACAAAACCTAGCAAAAGAAACCATGGAGCAATTACTTAGCGACGACGAACACCTTCCACAACAATCAAAAATGCAACACACAAGCTGGATGGAATGCACAAACCTATGCCTAACAACATACTTCCAATTCAACGGCCAAATATACGAACAAGTCAAAGGAACACCCATGGGATCGCCAATATCAGGTTTGATTGCAGAAGCAGTGATGCAAAGACTCGAAAACATAATTCTACCAAAGATCAAACCCAAGATTTGGATACGCTACGTCGACGACACATTTGTAATAATCAAAAGAAACGAGTTAGATAAAACTCACAACTTAATAAACAACGTCTTCAATGACATCAAATTCACAAGAGAAGAGGAATCCGAGAACAAAATACCATTTTTGGACGTCTTAGTCAGGCGAACAACCACAGGGGAATTAGAAACTCAAGTTTATAGGAAATCAACTCCCACACAGATCAAATCCTGAATTACAACAGCAACAACCCAATAACACACGAAAGGAATTGCATACAAACACTACTCAAGAGAGCAAGGACTCATTGCAGCACTACCGCCTTAAGGAAAATTGAAGAAAAGTATCTCATGGACGTCTTCCAAAAGAATGGATATCCACGGAATTTCATCAAGAGACATATACCCCCAAGCCAACCTACCAAAGCAAAAGCCACCAAGGAAAGCACAAAGAAAATCGCCTTACCATATATAAAGGATATCTCAAAATCACTACAAGACTCTTCAGACCTTTAGGAATTGACGTCGTACACAAACCAACAAAGCCGCTTCACTCAATTCTATGTCAACCAAAAGATGTCACCCAGTAGGTGAAAGCTTCGCAAATTAACCATCCAGCTCAGAGAACACAACCACATCAAAAAGAGTATTCTTTGTTCTGTATCCGTTTTTTGAAAATTTTAATGGGCATTTTTAGTCAATTTAATAATTGCTTCAACAATACACAGTGTAGTGTCTCAAATCTTTATCAACCTCATTCAACAGATATATGACAGTAACACGTGTTAGGTGGTCCACAACACAAAACTCAGTGAAGCGTGTAGAGTGAATGCTGGGGTAAGACAAGGGTGTGGTTGTCGACTATCATCCCTCATTGTCGTCGACTGGATTATACATCAGACTATGGGAAGTGAGGAAGAAGAAGAAGAAGACTCTAGATGATCCAAACTTCGCGAATGATTTACGTCGGTTGTCACTTAAATCATAAGACGTACAGGCGAAGACCGAAAAACCGGAAAAAGAACCAGGTGGCGAATACAGGACTTCAAGTGGACATGGAGAAAACGGACAGTGGTGATGAAGATAACTAACCAACCAGCCAACAACATTAAACACCAACTACTATCAATGTTAAACCAGTCAGTCACTTCACCTACACTGGTCAGAAACTTACACTGCGCTTCAATAAAGTCATTTCAAACAGCAAGCTGTAAACTTTTACCAACACCTACCTTCCTATGGCTGCATTCTGTAGATCAGATAGCCAGGTGGCCAGAAAGAACTAGCAGGAAGAAGAAACTTTCAGAGCGAACCAACCAAGAACTTATCGCCCAATAAATATGTTGGAGGAAATGGAGATAGATAGGAGACCACGCTGAGAAAACCGCCGAATGATATAGCATGCCAGTTGACCGTTCAAGTGGAACCCGAATGCGAAACAAAGAGTTGAGTGTAGGTCCGAGGGTGATATGGAGCAGATGAAAGTTTATAAGCAACCATAGAGTCAACTAGAAGAGACTATATAGAATGGGACAAAAATGGAGATGTAGTGTTGAAGAAGCCCTGTGTACCACCCGAAGTGCAAAGAAAATGTGGCAAAATATGCAAGAGGCAAGTAATTACAAGAGTTACATGATAAAATCAAATCAGATATTAGGTGTCAAATACCTAAACAATGCCTTTAAATTCTCAGGCAGTTCTGTTCGACCAGCATAACCTGGATTCATTGTAATGAAAAGACCAACAGCTGGATCAAGTGGTATTACTTCACCAAGAAAATTGAATTTCTCCTTCTTCAACCGGATTGCATCTTGAATACATTTCACCTAGACACATAGAATTCGAATAGAGAAAGTAAAAGAAGAAGGAATTATAGGAGGAAAAAAAACTTAAGCAGAAACATGGCATATACTACTGAATTACACAGAAATCAATAACACAAATCAATAATTGACAACACTATGCAATAGCAGCCAATGATAACCTCGACCATACACAACCAATCAACTCAGCTACCAAAATGGCATCATGGCACCACTGAGCACATGAACAGTTATTGGTTAGTATTAGGAAGGATTCATTTCAAATAATCGGAGTTAATTTCAAACAGTTCATAATATTTTATACATCTAAGTCAACTGTGTACATGGTAGGGAGTTAGATTCTTGGCCGATGAACTACCAAATCTCGTCTAGCCAACATTAAGACAGGAAATGCTACTGAAGCTTCAAAACTCAAGCTCGAAGATGTATGTTCCCTTCAGAAATCAAAAGGGATAAAAGGAAACACAATCTCAGGTGCCTTTGATCTATTTTAAGACACACACTAAGAAATCTGAAATAATGTGAACAGTTTGCAGAACAACACCATCAATAAGGTAATACTTAAGACTTGCTATGAAAATCCTTGTTTCTGACTTTCTATTGGTTATCAAAGTATGTCATATCAAATGATGATACAAATATATGTATATGGTAAAAGTACTCGACCCTGCAGTCCTTGAAACAGTCAAGCGAAATTGAATTTTGGGCGTGAGGACAAATATTCACTGATAACATTGGCTGATGGTGGTGCTTTATGTCGTGAACTGGAAGAAGTTAGAATTCATGGATCATTCGATCGGGTCCCATTGGCTGAATCGTCACTGGGCTCACACCGTAACTTCATTTTTTATTTTTATCTTATTCTTGATTACAGCTTGATTCCACACCGTATTTTTGGTACAAGTATGGAATTTTCAGCGTGGATATCGGAAGCCCAAATTTCGCAGGACGACCATAGATATCAGGTGTGCGTTGGCGTGGGCTCGAGCCCCGGACCATGTGCACGGTCAGCGAGAGTCCTAACCACTGTGCCACTGACGCACAATTTTGGGTTCCCTTTGTTGTAATAATGGATAGGTACTGATGAGGAGTCTTAAACAAGAACGAAACAGCGGTCCAGTACTCCCTGGTTTTCGATGGTTCTCTAACTGCGATCATAAAGTGATCTAACTTCCAAATCAAAATTGGTACATTACCGTTTTTAGAAGAAACTTAATTCGAAGTAGTGTTGAAAGCTTGGATCTTGTTCTTTATGCTGAATGCAAAAGATTTCCAAACTGACTTTGAAGTGATGAAAGTCTATCTCCTCTTTACAATTCAGGTATTGAAATCCCTATCTATGCTGGCCGGCTGTCGTTGAAAAGATGCTTCCTGGATGCATAACTGAAGTAAGTGATCTCCCTCAAATCTATTGCGTTGATGTTAATGTTGCTTGTTGTGGTTGTCGCTAGTTGGTTATTTTCATCACCCCCGTCCGTTTTCTCTATGTTCACCTATAGTCCTATTTTATCTGCCGGCTTCTCCATCCGGTTTGTTAGTTTTCGCCTATAGATCTTTGAGTTTGTCTGACATGAGACATAAATCATCCACCTAGAAATCCACTGGATCTTCTGGCATCTTCTTATAGCCGAACATATTCGTGTCTTCTCACTTCCAATGCACAGTCTGACAAATAACCCAGTCAGTTAGATCGTTTATTTGAAGTATCCATTAATTCTGACGACAAAGTCTAGTTTCAGAAAATTAAACTAGGGGCCAATAAATTACGAAGCAATGTAACCAGTACCCAAATATTCTTTAATTTCACAGAGGACAACTCAATAAAATAACTAACTAATCTATTGCTCATTATTAGGAAGTCATGAGCATAGGGTTCCATTAAGTTCCCTGTGAGGATAAACACTCACTGATGACACTAGCTGGCACTTGCACTAATAGTAATAATACTAATAATTCTCTTTATTCCAAATCAGCACTAATGATTCCTTCCAAGTGTCTAGATAATCAACGAGCTTGTCCTTTAACCTGGAGGTTGTGTCCCTCATGGGGTGATGAATATGTGCCTCTGAAGAGTCCCTGTCTAGAACGAAACAACTGTCCAGTAATCCCTGGTGGCTATTCAGCTGTTTTCTAACTTATTTCACTTCATAATCAAACCTCTAACCTAACAAATCCCTGCTAATCAACACTTCATAGTTAAAGGGAAAGGAACAAGAAGTTCAGCAAAGTCGGCGATTTGCTCGGAGATTTCATTCTCAAAAGCAGCTGTACAATCGCATTTATATACATTAGTTTACATAGATACAATTGTTATTTATTTACTTAATTCCACATAGTAACGAAGTTGATAATAATTTTCAACTTGATATGAAAGTTTGAAGGTACGTATATAAATTCTCTAGCCGTCCACTACTTCGGAGCAAAGGGGAGGACAGACTTCCGCATATAACCACTTCATTGTGCATATATCACCTCACCTGCTCCTGCGGAGCTAGGTACATAGGTCGTTCTATGCAGGTCTTATCAAAACGTGTTAGAGAACATCATCCAGCATGGCCACAAAGAGGAGGCACTGGTTCAATCAGAAACGCAATAACTGAACACCTACCTCGTCAATACCTGTTACAGAATCTCAACTGACTCATCATTCAGAGTCATTCACAAAGTAAACAAAAATCTACCAAAGGCAGTGTGTTTCCGACTTCTTTGTATTGCGGAAGCTCTTGCCATATGCATCGGAAAGCCGGAGCTATGTGTTCAAAAGAAACTAGTCCAGCCTTTACAACTACAATGGACGTAGTTCGGTATGTTCCCCCTATCCTTCAGTTTTTTTGTTTTGTTTTGTTCTGTGTGTGTGTGTGTGTGTGTAATTTTCTCTTTTTGTCTTCATTCAATTCATCCCATTTTTTTCAGTTATAAAATCATTTATTTTAAGTTTGTTTCCATGCTCCTCCTGATCACACTTGTAATCCGTTTAGAATAACCATTTTACACTTATATTCTAATCCTGTGTAATTTTTTTGTTTCTATGCCTCTTGTTGTCTATATTCACACCTCCTAACTTACATTTCAAGTTGAAAAATTTGATTTCAGTTTGTTTCCATGCTCATTTTGTTCACACCTGTAATTCGTTCTATCTCTGCGCAACATTTGTTTCTAAGCCTCTTGTAATTCATATCAAGTTGAAAATTATTATCAACTTCGTTACTATATAAAGTTAAGTAAATAATAATTGTATTCATGTGCACTAATGTATATATATGCGATTGTACAGCTGCTTTTGAGAATGAAATCGAAAATCTTTGCTGAACTTCTTGTTCTTTTCTCTCTAATGTCCCAATGGGTATTTTCCACGACTTTATCGTTTCATAAATCATTGTTAGCGGGTGTCTAATTTTAAATCTTAATCATGTTATTTGTGTGTCGTGGCACAGCGGTTAGGACTCTCACCGACCATGCACATGGGCTACCGACATCACATGCTTAAAAATTCCATACTTGTACCAAAAACTACGATGTGGAATAAAGCTGTAATCAAAAAATATTAAATAATTATAAAACTTACTGCTCAAACAAGTGGGAAAAATATATCTATATATATCCACTTACTTGTACAGCGACAACAGATAAAACTTCCACTGCTATCCGATTGAATTCATCAAAACATCCCCATGCACCAGTCTGTGCTAATCCCTTGTAAATATTACCAATTGACTTGTAATCCATTTGTTCAGAACAATTGAACACATAGACCATAATGCCTAGTGCACGGCCTAAATCTTTTGTTGTCTCTGTTTTCCCTGTGCCAGCTGGTCCAGCAGGTGCACCACTCATACATAAATGCAGTGATTGTGTCAGTGTGATATAACATCGATCAGTTAACGGTGTAATGACCAGTCTTGGTGTATTGCCTAAATATTCATAAGCATAACGAAATTGTGCATCACAGATATTAGCAAAACAATCGTGTGATTTATCATCCCATCTATGTCTCAACTGGGATAACCATGTGAAAGCTAGTGAACTTTCAACTTTTTGTGATATCAACTTTCCGACAACATCACGATTATGTACATCAATAGTGCATAAAGTCATAATTTTTGTCGATCACCAGCTGACAGATCAATTAATAGCATTTGTATTAATGTACTCAGTTGGGCAATTTGTTTTCTATTATACTCTTTCATTGCATTCTCTAAGCCTTCTTCTAGTCGAGCAAATGCAATCAACACTTCACTATTCCAACCGATTTGTGAACCGGTTAAAGCTATCTGCGCCGGATAGTCAAATATCCATTGATCTCTTGGTTTCTCTTCATAAGCACTGACTGCATCTGCAAGAATGTGACGCAGAGTGTTGCGCATTTCATCTAACAGTTTATTCAACCATTCTTCAACTTGACCTTGTAAATCAAATGATTTTGTGAATTTCACTACTTCACTATCCTAGAGAGAGAGAGAAAAGAATGAAAGGAAGGCGTAAAATGATGATAAGAAGATAAAGGCAGGCGGGTGAAAGCTACAATTATTACAGATCATTTTTGACGGGGACCACTATCATTATTGTTATTATTCTCTCTTGGTACCTAGTGGAGCATATGGCTCCTAAAATCCTCTTCAGCTGGGTCCACAATTACCCATAATCTCTCATCTTTTTCTCCCCGGACGATCTCCTCCATGTCTTTTTTTTGCTTTATTCCAGAAACAGTACTAGTGGCGCACTGTGCCATATTCAGCACATATCTACAAATATTGCATCTAATTTTATCAAACATTTAAAAGGAGTATTTCAAAAAAAATAAATATAAAGACAACAACAACAAAAACAAACAAAAAACAGAAAAAAAATACAAGATGTGAAAAATACCAAAAAATAGAAAAGAAAATAAACAACATAATAAATAATATTTCAGTATTGGGTAGTAGAAGGTATGATATATTTATGCTTGGTGACAGAAGTTATGAAATGATATTTAAGAATGTTTATCGTCATGATGATCAGTCAATTTGATTGAACAACACTAAACAGTCACAAAATAACATTTCAGGGTTGTCTTTTATTGTCAGCTCTAATGCGGTGTTTGTAGTGGGTAGTGTGAGTAATCCTGCATAATACAACATTTTTAAGATGGTGATAATGGCGTTCACAAACCAAGAATGTCAGTTAATATTGCCGAACAAAAAAAACCATTAACAAAACTAATATTACATGATGGTTAATGACAGGACAATTTTGTAACACTCATAGTGATAATATAGTCGGAACCAGTAGATACACAAAAGAAGGAATAGAGTAAAGTACAAAAAAAGTAACTCAATGTTAATAATTTAGGTAGCTAAGTATGTTTAGGAAGGTGTTCACCATAGAATACAAATAAGAGAGAAATAAAAAAGCTTAAAATTATGATATTAACAACAAAGCAAGTCATAGGTTTCACGCTTAACATTGTCTCTGTCACTTAGGACACGGGTCAAATATGGTATCGTTGAGTTCCTGTACCCGGTTGTACGAGCACATATTATTTTGTACTGATTTCTGGTTCTACCTGATGAGATGCAGGGAGAGAGTTGGGAATAGAGGGGGTGTTGGGGGTCGGAAAGTATGGTTTTAGTCCATTTCTCGCATGTATTCAGATAACTTTCTACTAATGTAGTGACGAGTTAACTGAGTTTTACACCCTAGTCCTACTAACTACCGTCAACATCCTTCTCAGAATGGTATAGTCCTTTTTCAGTAGCCTAGGAAAGACTAACGGGAAGCGGTAAAGTAGAATAGGTAAGATACGAGAGTTGACAAATTGTGAAAGTAGAGTTTGGGTGATTCCAGATAGTCTAAGTTTCTTAATGTAGTAGGTTAGATGGGACACTTTGTTAGAAATCGTTAAGATATGAGATGACCAAGTAAGGTCGGAAGATAGAACTAGACCGAGGTATTTTGCATTAGACTTAGTTTCAATTTTAGTCCCCTCAATGCGACAGGCTTCATGAGTACTTACTAGTGTTCGCAGATCTCGTTTATGCCTAAAGGAAAAGCCAAATAGTCTGGCATTTTGAGGGATTCAGCATGAGGCCATTTAGTTTGGACCACTGACTGATGCCTGACAGGAAGCTATTTAATTTGAAACAGTCTGACTGAGACTTAACGGGAAGCGAAACAGTCAGGTTATCTGGATATTTTACGAAGTTGATTTCGTCTGAAAGAGGTAAATCATGTAAGAAGAAGGAAAAGAGAAACGGAGAAAGAACAGAAACGGAAGCCCTAATCTTCGTTTCCATTGGGATTCCACTCAAGCGATGGCCTGCATTGAGCGCAGTGTCATTCGATGGCCTCCTCAAAGTATACCCCATCAATCCATCTCCATTTGTTTAGCAATCCGCTACCGCCTGTTGGTTTGTTCACTGCCAAAGTTTCTTGTTGCTAGTTCTTTCTGGACGGCCGGCCGGCAGGCGAAGACACTGTTGATAAAAGTCGGTAACTTGTTGGAAATCCTTTCCGTGACACACACTGAAAATTTCTCGCCCATAGAGAAGAAGAGACTGACTTCACATTTGTGTTGAAAATCCGAATCTTCTTCTCTATGCTGGTTGAGTGCAACTCAGGAGATTTCCTAACTGGTTTCAGATTGACGAAGGTGTATCTTGCCTTTCCGATTCTGGCTGGCTGGTTTTGACACCCTCATCTATGGTTTCCAACTGTCTGTGGTTGAAACCGTGCCTCCTGGCCGGATAAGTGAATGAAGTAACCTCTGTCAAATCCCTCGCGTTTATGGTGATCTGTGCCGGTTGTTGTTACTGTTGTTGATGTTCTTTGGTTATCTTCATCACCTCTGTCTTCTCCACGTTCACCTGGAGTCCTGTCTCCTCCAGCTGCTTCTTCGGCCAATTTGTTGGTTTTTACATGTATATGTTGGAGTTTGTGTGAGAGTAGACATTAATCATCTGCGAAATCCAGATCTTCTAGAGTCTTTCCATCCGCCTAACGTATTCGTGCCTTCTCACTACCTAAAGTCTGAGGCATAATCCAACGACAGGTATCGGAAGCTCCTGAACGGGAAATTAATATTACTTGTCTTGCGTGATTAAGGTCATTAGAATGCTGAGAACCAATGACTTCCAACTGTTGGTAATAGGGTTTAAAGATCTTATAAAGAATAATCGTCTTTCTGTTGTCTCTGGAGCGCTTTGTGACTGTGCCTATGGGAAGAAGATTCTCAGACAGCTGTGCAGTAGGACACCGACACTAGTTTCCTGCGTTTAGACCATGACAAGTTGATTTGGGCCGTTACAAGACCTGTGTTTTCTATGCAACTCTTGGACTAAACATTTTGCCTTAACCTAACTGGTCAAAACTTGTAGTTGACTCGTCATTTGCCTTTAAAATCTATCTTCTACATCTTTTCAGCAGTATAAGAATAGTTTCCGTCATATACTGTTGTGTTTCGTAGGTCTCTATGCTGAATAACAGCGAGTTTTTTTTTAGCTCAAACCATCATTCAGTTAGATAGACACCAAAATCAAGTATCAACAAGTTTTGTCCATTTTTTCTTTCCTCTTCTTTCTTGGCGCTTTTCGGGTGCATTTTTATTAAAAGTGTTCCATTAAAATGACATTTCGAATATTTATTGATCGCCTTTTCAGATATTGTTTTGTTGTTTACTTCCAAACGACCTGTAATAAGGACAGTGAATTAACTAGATTTCCCATCAACATCATTCTTCTGAATTTTCTATAAAGAGAAGTTTAATGTATCCTTATTTTTGGATAGATTATGTCCAACTTTTAGGTGAAATATCCTATACGAATATCTTATAATGCTTATTGTGTGTATGTGTATGCGTGTATATTTCTACAACTATAAAAATGATTGTGATTGTATAATTCTATGCTGAAATCCAATGGGTCAATATTCGTTCATGGTATATCATCACAAGTTTGCTACAACCTGATTGGATGATATAATTCCCCAACTGACCAATCAGAATGAAGTAATCTGTCATTATGTACTTCAACATTGGGACAAAATTCACTCGATGATGGGGAAGTAGATGAGATGGTTGATGTATTATTCATGTCTGTGTCTCAATGAATCTCATGCTTCGAGAAAGTCGAACGTAGATATTTTGTCAGCATCAACTTGTGTTGAAGTGAACCGAGGTTTTATTGCTTCTTAAGAGATTCTACTCTTGTTAACCAGCCTAGATGACTGTCTAAATCAGTTCAATCCTTTTATCATTTAACATCTTATGGATGAAGTATATCATTTCAGAGGTGAATGATACAAGTTTCCTCTCTGTGAATGAAAAAATTCTTATTTCATGAAATTGAGAACAAATGAGTCAGCAAGGAGATTTCATTTCCTGTGGCAAGTCACCAGCGAACATCAGATTAATTTTCTGTGGTGTGGTTTGCAAGGGTTAGTTTTGTTTTTACGAGTTGATCACGGATTGATATCGCTTAGAGAACCACTGAAAACCGTTGAGTGCTGGACAGTTGTTTCATCCTAGTTTGGGAATCATCGGCAGTACGCACCCACTGCCAGGGTTGCAAGGCAAGCTCGTATACCATTCATCCACTGAGACCCTATTCAATAACCAGTCCATGAATTCTAACTTCTACCAATTCGTGATTTAGCACCACCACAACCAATGT